AAACATTATCCAGCACCCTAAAAAGCAAGAATGAAATACTTCATTTCACACACACATCCATCAGCTGTGAATAGCCACCTGCTATGTGCGCTTCAGCCATGTTGGGGACACAAAACACACAGGACTGCTCACTGCTCTGGGACCTCATGGTGCAGAGCCCAGAACTCCTAAAGCACCAAGGAGAATGGCAACATCCAGGAAGGGCCTGGGTTCCAATGTTCAGGGGCCTGGGAGGTGGCGTGAGGGGAGCAGAGGGCACGCGAGAAGGGCTGGGGTGAATAACATACTAATATAAATTACATTTAAATTTTATATAAGTATGAATTACATTTATATGGATTTATTATTATACATTTATGTGTATATAATTTTTACTGGTTGAGTTTGCAGTTTATAGTTACAATGAATCCAAGTTCTCTTTCAAATAACACTTCCACTTCATGGTCGTGCAAGTTACAGCAGAGTATTCCCAATTCTTCCCTCGTAACCTTTTCAACGTTGCTATCATTCATTTGACTTAGAGATAGGCTGTAAGTACTAAATCTAAATGCATTGTTGCTGCTATTATTTTGAACAAACATCTGTTAAGAATAAGAGAAAATATTTTACTTTTATCTTCTCCAATGCTCTCCTTTAAGTAGAAACAAGTTTTTGACCTATGTAACTTCTTCTTTCTCAGCTATTCGTGACAAAGTCCCTCAATTTTTATTTAAGAAAATATAATTTGTCTTTCACTTTTGAAGGAAAATTTAGTTGGATATAGTACTGTACATTGGTGGATTTTTTTTTTCTTTCAGTGCTATATTTACCTCTACTCTCTCATTGCTTGCATGGTTTCTGAGATGTCCAATGTAATTTTATCTTTGCTCCTCTATACATAAGGTTTTCTTTTCCCTCTGGTTTCTTTCAACATTTCCCTTTTAATTTTCTGCAGTTTGCTATGCCTCGGAGTAGGATTCTTTGGAGTTTATGCTGCTTAGTGTTTCCTAGGCTTCCTGGATATGTGATTTGTTGTCTTTCATTAATTTTGTGAAATAACCAGTCATTATTGTTTTAAATATTTTCTCTGTTCCTTGCTCTTTCTTCTCCTGGTATTTTCATTTTGCGTATGTTACATCTTTTTTTAAAAAAGAGTTTATTTATTTTTAGAGAAAGGGGAAGGGAGGGAGAAAGAGCAGAGGAGAAACATCAATGTGCAAGAGATACATTGATCAGTTGCTTTCTCATGCCCCCAACTGGGGACCCAAGCCCACAACCCAGGCATGTGCCCTGATTGGGAATTGAACCAGCAACCTCCTGGTTTGCAGGCAAGCACTCAATTCACTGAGCCACACCAGTCAGGGCTGCATATGTTACATCTTTTGTTAGTTCCAGATGTTTTGGATATTCTGTCTCTTTCATTCATTTTTCTCTTTGCATTTCAGTTTTGGAAGTTTTTTATTTATGTATCTTCACTGATTCTGTCCTTGGCCATGTCCAGTCTACAGATGAGCCCATCAAGAACATTCTATTTTTATGCCCTGACTGGTGTGGCTCAGGGGATTGAGTGCTGACTTGCTAACTAAAAGGTCGCTAGTTTGATTCCAAATCAGGGCACATGCCTGGGTTGCGGGCCAGGTACCCAGCTGGGGGTGTGCAGGAGGCAACCAAAGGATGTTTTTCACACATTGATGTTTCTGTCCGCCTTCCTCCCTCCTTTCCCCTGCCTCAAAAGATAATAAAATGAAGTAAAATAAAAATAAAATGAGTATCTCTTCCTTTAAAAAAAACATTCTTTTCTGTTGTTTTTTGATTTCTCACATTTTCTTTTCATTCTTAAGAGTTTTCATATCTCTGCTTACACACACATCTGTTAATTCATGTTCTCCACTTTTTCTATTACAGCCCTTAGCATATTAATCATAGTTGTTTTAAATTTCAACTCTGCCATATCTGAGGCTTGCTCTGATGCATGCTCTGTCTAGTCAAATTGTATATGTTTGTTGCCTTTTAGTATGCTCTGTAAATTCTTGCTGAAAGTTGGACATGATGCCCTGGCTGGTGTGGCTCAGTGGATTGAGTGCCGGCCTGTGAACCAAAAGGTCACTGGTTCAATTCCCAATAAGGGCACATGCCTGGGTTGCTGGCCAGGTCTCCGGTTGGGGGCATTTGAGAGGCAACTCATTGATGTTTCTCTGGCACATCACATGGATGTTTCTCTCCCTCTCTTCGTCCCTTCCCCTCTCTCTATAAATAAAATCTTTAAAAAATAAAAGAAAGTTGGACATGATGTACTGGATGGAAGGGACTGAAGTAAATAGGCCTTTGTGAAGTTCTCTATCTGAGTCGGGTTTAGTTCATGTTTACTATTCGCTAAAGTCGCAGGTATCAGAAGCAAAAATGTCCTCTTGTGCCTTTGTTTTTGTTTTCCCTGGTGTCTTTGGGTTTTCCTAAAGACTTATTTTTAAATTAAGGCTGAGAGGAGCAGTTCTTTCACTGTTTCCCTCTTTTCATACAGAACCCTATTGATGTGGTGGAGAGAGAGGGAAGGCCCGGCGGGGCTAGAATCAGGTATTTCCCTTCCTGTAGGTGAATTAGGCTCTGGTAAAATCCCAGTCAATTTAGCTCTTAGATTGTTTTCTCTGGGGGCGGGGGGAGGCCTGGTAAAGAACAGAATGCTTTGAGCATATTTCAAAATGGCTACTTCCCTCCTTGGTCCCAGCACAAGGAGACTTTTCTCCACTCTTTCCTGTGAGAACATGGTAGAGCTCCTGGAGGCTAGACTCACAAAAGTGTGAGGGCCTCTTATGAGTGGACCCTCTCCTTGGGTTTTTTAACTGGCAAAGTCCACACTGAGCCACACCAACAATTCATCAGTTACAGTCTAGACTTTCCCACTGGTTCCTGAGGTCTCTGCTCCAGCAAGCTGTGACTCTCCGTCAGCCTGTCTCTCCAGTTTTAGGGCAATAGTTGGCTCTGTGACCTTGATTCTCTGATGGATCTAAGAATTATTAATTTCCAACTTGTTCAGCTTTTTTCTTTCTGTGTGGATGGGAGCAACAACTTCCAAGTTCCTTACATGCTAGGCCAGGAAACCAGAAGTCCAGATATAGTTTTAGTTCTCAGATGTCCTTCTAAAAAATTCCTCACTGATGTGGCTTAGTTGGTTGGTCATCATCCTGCAAAGCAAAGCAACTGGTTCGATTCCTGGTCAGGGCACATGCCAGGGTCGCAGGTTTAGTCCCTGAGAGGCAACTGATTGATGTTTCTCTCCCTCCCTTTCTTCCTTCCTCGCTTTCTAAAAATAAAAAACCCTTAAAATGTGTGTGTGTGTGTGTGTGTGTGTGTGTGTGTGTGTGTGTGTGTGAGACTATATATATAGTCCTTATTGTTTTAAAAAATTCCCCATGGTTTCAATAACTATGGCCATTTTTTTCTATAGCATTTAAAATATATTTATTATAAAGCACTTTTCTGTTAATTCTATTACCTAGAATTATTTGTGGATCTGTTTCTGTTGACTGAATCTGATTTTTTTTTTTCTCTTAACTCAATTACATTTATCTGTTTCTCTGCATGTCTGGTATTTACATCATGGAGAATGTGTCATAGAAACCCTGGGTTCTGTTATAATTCTCTGAAAAGTATTGAGGATTTTTTTTTTATTTGTTTGTTTTGGGTTTTTCCTCTAGGCAGAGTTGAATTACTGGAAGATCACCATGATCTTGTGAAGGCTTGACTTTAAATTTTATTCGGGCAGCTATACTTTGATTTTTCCCACAGTCTTGGTGCAAATCCCTTATTTCTAGAACATAGTCTTTATTCCCAATGTAAGGCCCTTCTAAGATTAAATGGAAAACTAGGTGTTTATCAAGTCTTTCCTGGAGCTGACAGAAAATGAATCTTCTCGCCCTGACTGGTGTGGCTCAGTGGATTGAGTGCCAGCTTGCAAACCAAAGGGTCACCAGTTCACTTCCCAGTCCAGGCACATGCCTGGGTTGCACGAGATGCAACCACACATTGATGTTCCTCTCCCTTTCTCCCTCCCTTCCACTCTCTAAAAATAAATAAATAAAATCTTTTAAAAAAAAGAAAGAAAATGAGTCTTCTCAGTTCTATGCCCTTTCAGCTCTGTCTTTCCTGAGGTCCTGGAATTTTACCCACACATGTGCAGTTTAGACCAGCCACTTATTGGAAGGGAATTACAGCTTCCCACTTCTCAGCCCCTGAGGAGCCAAACTACCCAGCATTACCCCCTAAATTATCAGCTGCAGCAGCATCCCAAACTCATCTGCTGCCTCCTGGAGCCAATAAGACTAGCTTCATGAGTTCTGGCTGAATAATCCTCAGGGGATTTTAAAGATTTTATTCATTTTTAGAGAGAAGGGAAGGGAGGGAGAAACAAAGGGAAAGAAACATCAACGTGTGGTTGCCTGTCGCGCGCCCCCATACTGGGAACCTGGCCCACGACCTATACATGTGCCCTAATAGGGAATCGAACCCTCGACCTTTTGGTTCTCAACCGGCACTCAATCCACTGAACCACACCAGTCAGGGCCCTAGAAGATTTTAAGAGCTGCCTCCCCTCCAGTTTCCGCCACCTTTTTGTCCTTCTGTGCCTCAGACAGCTGTCTCTCATATTTTGTCCGTATTTCATAATGCATAGGGATTCTACATTTACTGGAAGTGGAAACACTACCTTTTGACTTTTGAACCTGTAACCGAATCATTTGTTCAAAAAGTGAACCACTAAAAGAAAACAAGCAGACAAAATTAAATATTAAGGCTTACCGTAAAGGAGCCGATTCTCTAACGGTTAATTAAACCAGAAGCTTCCTTTTAATTAACGTTGCAGTCACCGGGGCAGGATGAGTCCTAGGCCCCGCCTCCACCCGCACACCACGCCCCCGCCGCCCAGACCCCGCCCCATTCGCGCCGCACGCCCTAGGTCGCGCCCGTTTCCAAGGCGACGCGGTACTAAGGCCGGGCCTGCCCGGCCACCGAGTGGACGCTCAGCGGTCGCAGCTGCGGATACATGAGCGGGGCAGGGGTGGCGGCTGGGCAGCGACCCCCCAGCTCGGGGCTCCAGGGCTCCCTGGGGGCATCGCGCCCGCGCCAGCCCCAGGTCCCCCAGCACTCGTGGCAGCACAGCGCGCAGCTCGGGTTCAGCGAGGCGCAGAAGCGGGTACTGGACCTGGAGAAGAGCCTTCAGTTCCTGCAGCAGCAGCACTCGGAGACACTGGTCAAGCTCCACGAGGAGATTGAGCATTTGAAGCGGGAGAACAAGGGTGAGTCCGGGGCCGGAGCCAGGGCTGGGCAGGGGCGGTGCGCCCGCCCCCCGCGGTGGGGCCCCCACAGACACGAAGACCAGCCTCTCCGGTGTCCTCCCACCGCCTTCAGCACCGAAACAGTGCGTGGACTCTACGCGGGCTTCAGGGAGGACACAGGGCAGCAAGCCCTACCCCGAGTACTGCCACGCCGAGTTCCAGCTCCCTGCCCCAGGCCAAAAATCCCGTCCTCGGTCATGGTGGGAAGTGCATGCACTCTGGTCATCTGCCCATCTGGCGGGGGCGGGTCTGGCTGCATGATTCCCCACTCTCACCCCGCCAGCCTTCTACTCTGTAGGCAGGGCCTCCTCCTCTTGTTAAAAACTTTTTAGAGTAAAATATTCCCCCGAAAGTACCAGTATACAGCTCAGTGAATTTTCACACACTAAACCACCTGATAAAGGGCAGACAGACGTGCTGGCCCTGGAAGGATCCTGGGGGCCTACCCAGGTCCCTCCCAGACACGTCTGACCCTGTGCCCTGTGTCTCCTCAGGGCACACTTCCCTCCCTAACTTTAAACCCCTTGCAGCTGCTCAGCCCCATGAGCCAGGCCTGAAGCAGAACTTGAGGCCTCCGCCTGGGACTCTGTCCCTGTCTCTGGCCTTCCTGCGCTCCAGCGCTCCGTCCACACATCTAGGCCTGCCTGGGTTCTTCTCCTGCTGCCTCCACCTGGGAGTGCCAAGCACTCCAACACTGGGTATCCCCCCATGTCTTCTTGAGGCTCACTCCAGTCCCTCCCCGATACCAGGCTAGATGCGGCCAGCCTGTGGATTGGAGGTCACTTGGTTGTTGCACTGACGACATTGGCTTACCCATGGCCAGGGGTTCCTGAAAACCTGGGTCATCATGACTTGTCCTGTCCTGCTGGAAGCAAGCCGCCATCTGGCAGAGGGTTGCCCGGTAGACCTCATGGATGAAGGGTGGGATTTGGAGCAAGGCTCTCATGCAGAGGCTTTGGCTCAGGGAACAGCCAGAGGCATTCCTGGCCTTGGGGTGCCCAAGACAAAGGCTTGGCCCATGGGGCAGGGTCCCTGAGACCTCTTAGGGACAGCAGAAAGGGAGTGGGCAGGGCAAGCCAAGTTTCTCTCAAAATGGCTGTGGCTTCGAAAATAATGAGAACATGCATTTGCTTTCAGAGCTCCATTACAAGCTAATAATGAATCAGAAGCTACAGAAGAGAGGTAAGACTGAAGCCCTCAGTGCCTGATGGGAAGTCACCACTATCAAGAGCAGCCCCTCTAGACTGCCTGTGCCCACCCAGCTGCACTGCCCAGGCACTGCCCTGGTGGTGAGGGGTCCTGGAGGATCTGGACAAATAGATACCACTGCCCCCAGCCATGGTCTGGGTGACAAGCACAGAAGGTGCTGCTCTCAGGGAGCCCAAGGCCACAAGTCTGAACAGGAGGGTCAGTGGGCAGAACAGCTACAGGTCAGGGGGCTGCCTGGGCCCTCCCGCTGCCCTCCCCAACCTCACTACCTTGGCGGGCCCTTTCCCTTGGCTTGCTGCTCTGGCGCACTCCAGGTTCCCTCTGAAGTGCTGGGGAGCCCCGCACAGCCCAGCCGCAGCCCTGTGGCTCTGGTCCCTTACTCCCTGGGACCGATCGGAGGGATCCTGCCTGCCATCTCAGAAGCAACTGTGGGGGCTGGGAGAAGGAAGCACAGACAGTAATCTGCAGCCACTTGTCTGAGGCCCTGCCCCCAGCCCAGCCCCCTCTGTCTTAGGCTTGTTCTCCCCACACCCACTGGGGCCAGGCCCGAGCTCGGGAGGTAGTTGGAATGGTGATGGTGCCAGCCCGGAATGCCCCAGTCTGAGGGGTACCCAGGGCTCTTTCTCCCTGGGGGACACACAGACCCAACCCCCCTGCTTCATGGATGGCCCTTCAGGAAACCACTTTTCCCGCAGAAACCACTTGGGTCCCTCATGCACTGGCTGGGTCTGCGGCTGCCTCACCAGAGTGCCGGGGCGGGGGGGCTCTGCATGAATGCCTGGGCCTAGGAGCTGCAAGGCCAGGGGGCAGGCAGAGGTGTGCCCAGCTCCTTGCTGTGCCGAAGCTGCTAGAGAAGCCAGAACAGAAGCATCACTGTTGCCATCTCTGGTTGACCCTTACATGTTTGCCCACAGGTAGCACCTCCAATTCCAACTTTCAGTCCGTCAAGTCCATCTCAAATTCAACGGTGTCAGGTGAGCATGCTCAGTGTGCTGGGGGAGGGGCAAGTGCTCCACTGTTGCACAGCCCAGGGGTGAGGGTACCTTAAGGGGCAACGGAAGGGAGCCAAGGAGGGTATGGTAAGCTGACACCACCAGAAGGGGGCTGAGGTCGGGGGGACAGGACTGCGGGACGGCCAGAGGGAGGCTGCAAGGGCTCCGTGGGCTTGGCCGCAAAATATGCCATCTCAACGAGGGGCACAAGGCCCCAAGGCAGGCCCAACCCGGAGCAGGATGGTGGGCAAGCAGGTTCCTGACAGCCTCCCTGAGTGGCCTTCCAGGGAGGGGCGGTGGGCTGGCTGCCTACAGGAGCCCTGCTGGTAGTGTGCCCACAAAGCAGGCAGGACGCAGGTCCGATGGCCCTGCCTATCGAGCCCCAGGCTGTGATGTCCTCGCAGTCTGAGGGACGTTCAGAGCCTCCCTCCCCACTGTCTGCCCAGGGAGGCCAGGCACCCGAGGAGGAGCAGCCCCTGCTCTAAGTAGGACCCAGGCAGACCACAGACGTCCTTGCAGTCAACCTGTGTAGCTGGGGCAAGACCTCTCATTCGGGTTCATTTTGGCCCAAATGGGGCGCTGCTTCAGGGTCAGGGCAGCTTGTGGGGCCACCCTACCCCCAGCGCTTCCCAAACCCTGGGAAGAGACTGGCCCTGTTTCAGGCCTCAGAGCACTCAGCAGGCACCGCCCATGGGCTGCAACCTCAGACCCTCATTAGTGTTTTCCAGCAGGAGGCTCTGTTATCATCTCCTTTTACCAGGCAGCAACGGAGGCAGGGGGTGGGGGCTCCTTGGGCTCCCGCAGCTGATCCCGGAGGACTTGGGCACCAGTGTGGATGCCCGTAGTAACTGGCCCTGCCTGGGTCTGACCTGTAGCCAACTCTCAAGGCAAGGCCAGGCCTCAGCCCAGCTCCAAGAAGCAAGACTCGAAAGTGGAGATTCCCCAGAAGACGGATCTGGAAGAGAAGCCCCTGGTTGCTGCCCTGCTTCACAGCAGCAAGCTGGACAAAGCCTCTGGGGCGCAGGGGCTGTCCAAGTAAGGCACTTAGTAGGTTTACAACCAAGAACCATGGGCCAGCCTCCAGCATGAACCATACAGGGGGCCCTACAGGGTACCTGTGCTGAGCTCGGCCCACAAGAGAGGCCAACAGCAGCCCCTAGCTCATTTTCTCAGAGAATCTGACCTCCAAACAAGCTTGCTTTGTACCAAGAATAGTGAGTCGGGTTCCCAGGCTCCACCCTGGGAAACTTACTTGACCACTGGAAGGCAGGGTCAGCAGGACACCCCAGATTTTGGAATTTCCCTGCAAAGCAGCAGTGAGTCTGGGGACCCCGTTGTCCCCCAGGCAATACAGCCAACAGGACAGGCTCCTGCTTCTCTGCACAGTCCTTAGATTTCCTCTTCAGTTCTACCAGGTTTGGGGTCAGGACAGCTGGAACCACATCTGACCCTTAGTGCACCTTGAGAGGGGAGGGAGATGGGTCTAGAGACCGGAGCGCCCTGGTCAGCAGAAGGCACCCAGGCCCCTGCGGAGGCGGTGTTGACGCCCCCACCCCCCCTACTCTGGCCTCATGCTGCTGAGGGCACTGCCCTGAGAATTGGTGGCTGGTCAGGCCAGTCCTGGCAAGCCACCTCTGGGCAGCTGCAGCGACTGTTTCAGGGACGAAGACGTGAAGACCTTTAATCCAGAGGCTGCGTCTGCGGCGGGCAGCCAGCACAAGGGCAAGCATGTGATGGGGGCGCCCCCCCTGATGAGCCTGCCCCCCCACTTGCGCAAACTCACCTCAGTTCAGCAGTGTGAGGTAATCATCCGCCAGCTGTGGAATGCCAACCTCCTGCAGGCCCAAGAGGTGAGGCTCAGGCCGTGGCGGGGGCGTCCCTGGTGCCTGCAGCCTGGGCCACCATGCCTTTCCCCCCTGCCTTTCAGCTGCAGCATCTCAAGTCTCTCCTGGAAGGGACCCAGGGGTCGTCCCAGGCGGCGCCTGAGGAGGCTGGCCCGAAACCCACGTAAGTGCCCGGTGCAGCTCTTCCCCAACACAGTGGGGGCCTGACTGTGCGGGGCTCACTGCTTACTCTTCCTTCATCAGGGACCAAGAAGCCATGCAGCTCCCCAAGGTCTCCAGCAAGGGTGTCTCTAAGAAATGGTGAGTCCCAGGGGCAGGGGGCGGGTGGTAAGGAGAAGCAGGGCCGGCACAGCAGAGAGCAGGCCCTGGCTCCGGGCCTCGCCCAGCAGCCACTCCCAGACACGCCTCTGTTGCCTGGCCTCTACCCCTACCAGCCTGATCCTGAGCCCAATGCCTGTGGCGGAGCGCGCCATCCTGCCCGCACTGAAGCAGACCCTCAAGAACAACTTTGCCGAACGGCAGAAGAGGCTGCAGGTGGTGCAGAGCCGACGGCTGCACCGCTCCATGCTCTGAGGGCCTCCTGCAGTCCTTGCAGCGGCCTGCAGCCAGGCCTGGGCCACAGCTGGGAACACTAACCCTCTCTAGGCAGCATTCCAAAAGAGTTCTAATTCCACATGAACCAAACCACAGCAGATAAAGTCCTTGGTCTCAGAACTGAGAAACTTTATTTTCTTGCTCAGTATTTTGTTATTCTGCATTTACACAAAAACATGTTAAAAGTATTACTCCACCTGTTGAAGACAAAATAAAGCTTGTTTCTCCCAGGCCTGAGTCTAGCCCCTTGCTGATGGTCAGGCCCTGCGACCCTGGGAGGGCCCCTCGCTCTGTGCCCTGTAATGGCGGGGGTGGGTGGGGGCCTGGCGGCTGCCCTGGAAAGCAAGCTCAGGCACAGCACGTGCTCCCCTGCTGAAGGGCAGGGGTAGTTCCTGGCCTGTGGCTGGGGGTGGGGAGGGCGCAGGCGCCGGCAGCTGCTTTCCAGGCACACATGCCCTGAGGGTCTCCTGCCTGACCAGACCTCCTCCTCCTGCCTCAGAGATCACGTGTCCCCAATGACAGACAGCTGATAAGCCACTCCTCCAAGCCCACTGTCCTCTGCAGGGGGCTGAGGCCCCGCCCTGTGATGTCCCTACCCCAAGGGCCTGACGTCAACCCTTCAATTGCCAAAACAGCAGCTTCATCTTCTATCTCGTTGGTGCAGCCAATTTCATGCTGAACCTGCCTGGACAAGACAGTTGTCCCGGCCCCACTGGCCATTTCCTCAGTGCTAACCTCTGTTCTTCCAGCTCCAGGGAACAAGACTTTGCCAAGAAACCTGGCGGTGAACCAGGGTGAGGAATCAACAGTCAGAGGAGGGTGAACTGAGGTCTGGGCGTTCACGGCCACCTCCAAGGTGGGGGACCTGGCTCAGTCCTGACAAAGTCCCTCCCTGAACACACACTCACGGGAGGGGGGCACAGTGACAAATTCATGACAGACACAGGAATAATACATTTATTATAAGAATCACAGATGACATGGTAGTGCACATAAAAAAGAGGGCCGACTGATGTCCCACCAGGGAGTCCTCCCTCTCTGGAGTGGCTTTGAGGATGCCAGGTCACGGCGACAGAACCCTGACCCCAGAGCAAGCCCTGGCGCGCATGGTGCCAGGGACAGGATTCCCCCAGAGGCCTCTGCCCCCCAGCATCCCACGGTGCTCAGCAGGCCCCCCGGGCTGGAAGGGAAAATGCCGTGAGGTATGAGGTCCTGCTGGTAGTCACGACCACTCAGGCCAGACTTCCCTCCGAGTGGCAGCCAGGGCCCCGGGGTCTAGGAGCCTCCTGGCAGCATGCCCCACGTGCCGACAGTAGCACACTCTGAACCCCGCTCTGCGATCAGAGAATTGTGTCTTAGAGGTTTCCTGTGTTCTCCGTGTCCCCTTACAGAAACGGGTAGAGTGCCTCCTGGCGCACACACAGGGGGCTCTAACAAGGTCCTGCGTCTCCCCCGTGATGCTGAGGGAGGACACGGGCCCTGCACAAACCAAAGGGACAGCAGCTCGAGGAGCGCAGGCCTGGGGGGCATGTCTGCCTCCCTGGAGAAGCTCTCACTGTCAGCACTGATGCAGCCAGCTCCGGAGCCACTGTCCCCGTCCTGTACAAGTGTGGGAAAATGTGTGGTAGGTCCCCAAGGCAGAATATAAAAGCAGGAAAGCTAACCTAAGCCCAGGCTCTCTAAGAGAGCCAACACCTACAAATGTCTGGCATGAGGTGTGTATCCTCGATGGCCCCGACAAGGCTGCCGGCTGACCCCATGGTCCCCGGTGGGCTGGCAGCCCGAGGTGCGCGGTGGCGACAGCTAGGCAGCTGAGAGGCAGGCCTGGTGGATGCTCTGCGCCCAGGTGTTGAGCAGGGCTGTGACCGAGTGTTTGTCGGGGAGCTGCAGCAGCCTGGAGGTCATGAATCGGTGCACCGACTGCAGGAAGGGGTTGGCGTCTGCAACAGAGCAGCAGGCCTTGAACACTGCGCCCTCTGTCGGGGCAGCTTGGCACCATGCCCACCCTCGGCCCACACGAGCAGCCCTCGTGGGGGGGTTGGGGTGAGCCTGCCCTCGCAGGCACAGGGCTGGCACCGGGGGCACTTCCCACAGGTGCCAGCCCTGTGTGATTGCCACCTCCCACGCACCGCTGGCTCTCCCTGGCCCATGTGTCACTGGAGAACTGGAATGTGAATGGACCTGGAGCTTTCCCTCAGGGACAGCTTCAGGGTCCAATCCTGGTCCTCTGTGTGCCAGCTCTGGGCCTCAGGGAGACTGTCCCCATCAACGAAACTCTCTGGGCCTCTGCCTTAAAGCCTCGTCACCCAGATGGGTCCCCATGAGCCCAAGCCCCTGCCTGTTCCCCCATGTGGGCCTGGCAGAGGCCCACAGGGGCTGCGGGAACAGCTGGGCCTGCTAACCCCTCCCTTATTGAACATGGACACCCTGGAGTTGCAGGACAGGCAAAGGGACACAATGGGGGCAGAGACCTCTCTTTGTCCAGTGACTGCTGGGCAACCTGTTCTCATCCATGAAGGGGGGGCCAAAGGAGGAGAGGGAGGGGCCGAGCTTGGGGGACACATGGAGAAAGCCCTGGCTGCCCAGAGCTGACGCCCACCTGCCCTGGGTCGCCAGGAGCAGCCACAAGGCCTCCCCACAGCCGTCCCCTCAGCTCCCTCAGCTCCCTCACCATATTGCCACTGCCGGTCGATCCACAGCGGGCTCTGGGCGGGGTAGTCGGCGGGCACACTGAGCTCCAGTGGGGGCACATTCGGGAGGTCCTTGTCGTCTGCAACACAAGAGGCTGTGCCTGTGACCCCGCACAGCCTGCCTCACAGCTCGGCTCTGGCGAGACTGCAGAGCCTGGAGGTCACGGACTCTGAGGTTTCCGCGGCTCCCCAGGGCCTCAGGCCAGCAGAGCCGCACCAGGACAGGAGGGGCTTCCCTGGCAGCGGGGAGAGGTGGGAGTGCGTGGGTGCATGGTCCAGGCCTCGGTAGGTGTCCTGGGGCCAGGTGTGTCAGGATCAAGGACAATGAAGGCAGGCTCCTGAGAGGGACAGAAGGACTGTGGGCCTGGGGCTGGAGTGTGATCCTGCGTGTCTATGGGAAGCTGAGCACTTGCCAGGATGGAGTGCACAGTCCCGGGCAGGCCAGTTCTGAGGCAAGGCCTGGAAGTCTGTGTCCCCTGCCCCACGTGGCCGGGGCAAACAGGGGAGCCCTGGTGCCGTGGTGCTGGGCTCGCTCCTCACCAGCCCCGCCCTCCCTAGGTACTCACGCAGGTTGCATATCAGGTGGACGGTGCCGTTGTTACTGCAGTGAGAAGGGTCCAAGTTCACCAGGAACTTGGGGTCTAATCTGGCCACCTCCCCCTGGAGCACGTTGGGGATGCTCTGCCGCTCATCCTCTTCAAACTTACGCTTCCGGGCGCACACCACCGGCACCCTGCAAGAGGCAACCACAGTGACCACACTGGGCTGGGCTGCGCCTGAAGCTCGCCACCTGCCGCCCACCTCAAGGCTAAGCCCAGGGCTGTACGCACGTGGTGGGTGGCCCGTGGATGGCCGTCATGGCTGGCATGAATGTGCGGTACAGAGAATGGTTGAAGACGGGCGAGCGGATGTTGGCCAGGACAGCATCCAGGAGCGGCTGGCACAGGTACTGCTGTTTGGTTGGCGGCACCGGGGGCGGTGGGGGCGTGGGCTGGTATAGGGCGGGTGGGGTCAGCAGCTCACTCTTGGGAAGGCTCTCCAGACCCCAAGGCCCTCATTCTTCCTTACAGCCAGACTTCCCAAGGATTCCCCACCACCTCCACCCCTGCAGACAAAGATGGCTAATGCTGGACATGTCTCCCCAAGTCCCCTCCCACTGGGGCCGGGCTAGTGCTCGGCAAGTGGAGGCAGGAGGGCGGAGGGAGCCTGCAGGAAAACCCACAGCCTGGGGGGTGGAGGGCGTGCCCACAGGCCGCAGTTGGAGGGCAATTTCTCCCACATCCCCACCATCCACAGCTGACCAACCTGGAAGAAGACTCCAGGTAGGCTCCCCAGGCTGAGCGGTGACCCCCTTTGCCCGCCCTGGACTCTGAAGGCTCCTCCCGGCCTGTGGCTGAGCTGCTGCCAGGTGAGCCCTGACATTCCGAGACGCCTGCGGCCCCCTGAGCTCCCCCAGGCCGCGGCGTCTCACTCACCACCGCCATGTCATTCTTGAGTTTCTCCAGGGCGATCTCACACTTCTGCAGAGTTTTCAGGGGGCACCTGTGGGGAGAGGGCGTGTGGCTGACCCGCTGTGCGAGAGGACAAGGGAGCTGGCAGCTCTCACGTGCTAACCGCGACCACGGTCATCTTCCTCTAGACAGAGTCAGCCCAGGGGCCTTGGCTACTGGAACCCTCCACAGGAGCCCCAGCCACCTGACCAGCTGTTCCTAGACCCAGAGTCCAAGGCATGCTGATCCCACCCGTAGGAGCTGCGCGGCCCTGGGCGTCAGAACAAGGCACGAGGTGTGACGGGCCAAGGGGCGGGCAGAGGCCCTGTCACCCCAATGAGGGGTCAACCCAAGAAGGCCTGGTGGGCCATCGAGCTAAAACAGGCCCATCCAGCAGCATCTGTCATTCTGTCCAGAAAAGCAAAACAGGACGCTCTTTCAGAAGGAGAACACCACCTGAGCCTAGGGAAGTGGCCTGAGGCTAGTCCGCATGCGCAGTCCTGTGGCACTGGCCAAGCTTGGCGCTAGCGCAGGGGCATGGAGCTGTGTCGAGAACCTGGCTCTCCACTGCCACCCAAGTGCTTTTTAAGGCGCTGTCTTACTTCATTTTCACAGCTAATGCACGTGGGCCGCAGCTGCCCCTGGGGCAGATGGGGCAACTGAGACACAGTGGCTTGTCCAAGGCCACTGGTAAGTCGGGGCACGGTCGAAAGTCAGACTGACGCCTGTCTCATCCAGCTGGATTAGTGGGGGCCACCACAAGCCCAGACCTGGGCAACGGCCCTATGAGACACAGCCGTGACAGCCACAGGGTAGAAGGGCGAGGGCTCCAGCGGCTGCCCGCAGCTGACCAAGTCAGGGTAGGTGCTTGGAGCCCCAGCAGACACGACGAAGCAGAGCCCCAGGCCCCTTCTCTAAATGCCACTGTCCTAGGCTGGGCCAACCAAGTAGCCGGGGACCCTCCACGAGCCATGGGTGCAGCGCCACCCTTCCCCTGGTGACCCGAGGACAAAGCTCACCGCTTGGAGGGGTCTGTCAGGATATCCAGAAGGCTCTTCATCTTACTCAGGTCCTTTTTTCTGTCTGGAACAGAAAAGGGGATGCTAAGAAGCAGCCTGGGACCTGCAGGTCCTACCCCAACCCCTGGGCAGGCCCCAACTTCACCTTCATTCTTGTCGATCTTGTTGATCATACGGCGTAGTGGCTCAATATACTTGGAGAGTTGCTTCAGCTTGTCCAGGTACTGCTGCTCCTCGGCCTGGCTGGAGCCCGCTGGGCTCATGACTGAGCTGGGGTTCACTGCAGGACACAGCCTGTGAGCACAGCCCGCCCAGAGGCCCAGCTCTCTGCCAACCCTCAAGGTGGGCGCTCAGGCTCCAAGGGGTTTGAGTTTGCTCACCCCTTACAAGTGAGGGCTCATGAAGATGAGGGGGTGGCCCTCAGCACCACAACTCCCAGGGCTACATGTGGATGACACGACGGGCTCTGGGCCTCAGGCTAAGCCCACCCCGAGCCCGACTTACCAGGGGTATTTAAAGGTCCTGGAGAGGGCACGCTGAAGTTCTGCGGGGTGCGCGCCGTCACTGGACTCTGAGAAGGCTGCGGTGAGGGGCTGGGCAAGAAGCTACTTGGGGATGGGGCAGGGCCGGAGCTGCAGTGAAGTCAAAGGGAGGGTGTGTGTGAGCCGCGGACGCTCGGCAGGGCCCTCCCTGTGAGCCAGGCAGGCAGGGGCACCCGGCTGGTCCTACCTGACGTTGGAGTTGGGCTGCGAGCTGGGCTGGCCGGGCTGTGGGGATGGCTGCGGGGGCGGGGGCATCGACTGCGGGGTCTGCACCTGCTGGCCCGGCGATGGCGACGACAGCATGGTGAGGCTGCTCTGGTTGACCTGCAAGTGGAGGGGGCTCAGCCTGCTCACCTGCCACACACTCGCACTCCTGCTGTCCCCTTGTTCCCATCTGCGCAGGCTCAAGGACCGCACCTGCACATGCAGCCCCTTCTCTCTCATCCTCAACGCACACCCTTGTCTCTTTTTGAGGGCCTGCTTCTCAAAACACTAATACAGGCACATGCCCCCCCCTCTGGGTACACACACAGAAGCACACGGTGACCAAGGGCAGGCTGGGTAGTCCTGGCTCCGCTGTGGGAGACCCGTGAAGAACTGGGCCTTCTGTGTTGGGACAAGACATCCCCATGTCTCTGACTCAGCGTGTGGGAGACTGGAGCGGGAGGCCAGGGAAGGCCCAAGGCCCCAGATGTGAGCTCTCCTCTGTGGGCCCTGCCCTGTGACGGGTGAGCCCATCTTTCTGTGTGCTTCCATGAGCTCCCCCAGTCACAGGGGAAACGGCATCTTGCACTTAATGGAAGCAAAGTGGCCCCTACATCAGCCCTCACCAGCAAGCCCTGCCTGGGGCTCCTCGGTCTGGACTCGCAGGTCCCACTGAGAGACGTGAGTGGCTTGGTGTCATTCTCAGAAGCCACTTCCTTATCTGCAGAGCCAGAGCTCACCCACTCCCTGCAGCCCTCATTGAGGAGGACACAATAGAGTCTACTGTGCCACTGTCAACACCAGGGAGAATGCCCTATTAGCCTGTGAACTCCACAGGGTGGACCCACTCCCTCGCCAGGATTCAGGAACACGGATGTGTGAAACCACCGCTTTCCACGGAGAAGCTCAAGACGGCAGCTCTGGGGCGTGAGGACAACGCCGGCTGGCCAGCCCTGAGCAACCAGCCTCTGCCGGAACGAGCCCCGCAGAGAGCTGCCTCTTCCAGTGCTCGGTGACGGTGGCATAAAGGCCTGGCCCCTCAACACACTGGGATCACTCCGGAGGCCCTGACAGCCTCATGGCTCCCAAGGGTTGGCAGTGGCTTCACCCACAGCCCAGTCAACCTCCTGCACGAAGGTCAGAAGGTCAAGCATCTCCTCAGAGCCCACTGCCTACAGCCCGGCCCACAGCCCCACCTCCTGAACAGGCCGACTCCGCCCTCTCCCGGGGCACTCGGGCACTCTGGGCACCACTGCCACAGCTTCTCGCCTCTCCCGCACACAGCCCTGCACCATGGCGCTGGGAGGAGGGGGTTGCTGCATTCCAGTCCCCTTGTCAGGAAGCAGGAAGAAACATTTGCAGGGGCCCAGATCCCACCAGGGAAACAGGATGCCACCCTCCTCACCCGCCTACCCCACTGGCTGGGCAGGGTGGGCACGGGCCCCACCTTTTCTCTCATGCCGCCGGAACTAAGCTCCAGGAGGGAAATATACTGCCCCTCCTGTCCTTTGGCTTCCTACCCCATCCCACTGAGTGTGCAGGACGGAGCCGCAGGGGTACAGAGGTCACATCATGACACTTCCAACATGGCTGGGTCAGAGAGGCACAAGCCCAAGCCAGAATGGGCTGTTCCCACCCCTTGTGAGGAGGCCCGCAGCAGGGAGTGGAGGGGCTGGAGTGAGGGAGCGTTGGGGGAACGGTTACAGGTGTTGCATGTTGCTATCAGCAGGGTACAGACGGGGCCTGGGGAGGCTTAGTGTGCAGCAGAGCACACGGCTTCCCCCTGCGCAGCGCTCGACCTCATGGTGTCTGGATGCACTGAGCCCTGGGGCCTCACGGCCCCTGCGCTAGGAAATAAGCTCCAGAATCTACTCAGGTGCCAGCAAGCTCCTAGGTCTAGGAAGATGAACAGGTCGTCTCAGAAAAGTCCATTCAGAGAACCACATATGGTGCCAAGGAGGGGAAGCAAAGGCCCTAGGGCCCCACCCTAGGCCTGGCCCGTCAGGGCATGGTCAAGCCCTGCTCCTCACCTGTCCCCCAGACGCCAGGCTGCTGCCACCCTCTGCCCTAGAGTCCCTGAAGCCGCCTCTTGCTTTACCCTCTCCCTGCCCCCATGTCAAACCCCTTCTCCTGGCTTCGCCCTCACGACATGGGCCCCACCAGCTCCCCACCTGCCCAAGGGAAGAGCTTCAGCCTCTGCTCAAGCAGCTGTCCCTTCTAGAAAGTGTTCAGCTTGTCTGTAGCTTAAAGCTGGTGCTTCTCTGAAGGGGAATGAGGCACTCGCAGGCATGAGGCCACCTGACAGTTCACGTTCCACCTCATGTCTGAAACTGTATGGGATGGGGTAAAAGTAGGTTGACAGGTGTGAGTACACGGAACACAGAATTTATTCCTATATTATTATTTATTATTGTATTACTTTCCCTATGAACTATAAATGTACTTCTTTAAAAAATGATTTTATTTATTTTTAGAGAGAGGGGAAAGAAGGGAGAAAGAGAAGGAAAGAAACACTGATGTGTGAGAGAAACATTGACTGGCTGCCTCTCACATGCCTCCAACCGGGGACCCAGCCTGCAACCCAGGCATGTGCCCTGACTGGGAATCGAACTGGCGACCTTTTGGTCCACAGGATGGCACTCGATCCACTGAGCCACACCAGCCAGGGCGTGCACACCTACTTTTGTCCCACCCTGTACTTTAAGAGGCACCCTCAGCACTCAGACCATGGGGAAATAGGGTGCACTTTGCCCATACCCTCTGCTTTTGGAACCAGGGAGCCACCAACACGCACGGCTCCTGACGCACAAGTCAGAGGATCTAAGACACAGTGAGAAACAGCCTGCCCAGGCCAGGGGCACGAGCTCAGGGGTTCTGCCTCTCCCCTAAGCCCGCCTCTCTTGTCCAGCCCTGGGCTCTGCACTTCTGGCTACTGTGGCCGCCATTGTCAAGGCTGCTAAGGGAAACCCCCTGGCCTCTGACATCCAGTCTGGATCTCTTTGATTCTAGCAGTTCCTCTGGAAGAAAGCATAATTCCTGTTGGCAGCAAACACTGCTCCTCACTGGTCTTCAGGACGCCTCTCCGGGCGCCAGTGCTAGAGGCCCAAGGCTCCCAGGGCTCCCGAATCCCGAGTCATCAATGACACACCTGGGATGGGAAGCAGTCACCCAAAGGCCCATGTCAAGAGAAAGCTGGCCTAGTGAGGCAGCTCACAAGAGAGTAACCCTGGCCTTCAGGTCCATGCCAGGTCCAGTTGGCCTCTGGGACAGAGGAGAACAAGGCAGCTGTGCTCCCTCAGCTCTGTGATGAGCCCACCAGGGGAGAGCTGTGCTCTGGCTCTCTTGAGTCTTTTACCCCTCTGGCATGTTCTCTCACAGGCATGGGGTGTCTATCACACAAGCCATAAAATGCTGCCCCTCCCAGGGGAGGGGGCTCCAGTGCCACCCCATCACCCCCACAACACACACAGGAAGTGAAAGCTCAGAGGGAAGTGATTTACTCAAGGTCACATGGCTAGTGGGAAGAGGTGGGGAGTTCAGGCACTTCAGGGCCATCTGCTTCCCAGGGGAAGCGAGGACAAGTGGCAAGCGGGCCTCCAGGGAGGCAGATGGAAGGCAGCAAGGATGTAGAGAGCGCGCAAGGGGCAAGCAAACAGGCAGGCGGGTGGCGGGGCCAGAGGGCAGCAAGGCTGCAAAGGAGCCTCACGGGAGGCTGCTGGCACCATGCACGCCAGCCCTCTTGGGACCATCAGCATCTGTCAGACATCCCTGGAACTGGTCCACGCTCCTGGCCTCCTGCATGCAATGTGTCCTCAGAGTCACTCTCCAGAGCAAAGTGGGCCCCATTGTGGAGCCACCTGCTTACACCCACCAAAACAGTGTTGGGACAGAAATCCAGGTCACCGCTGACCTCCCATGCTGGGGGCCCTGTGTCCTGCACGTGTCTGGCACAGAGTTCCACTTGGTTACAGCCATTCACATCTGTGATGCATCCGCAGCACAACATGAAAATGTAGCCAGCGGACAGGGGTTGGAAGAGAGGCAGAGACGAAGGAGCCCTGTCTCAAGAAGAGCTGATGGAAGAAGAGCTGACTTTCTCTTTTGCCTGTTTTCTTGAACCCAATGTGTTGCTAAAGGTCCCAGATAGGCACAGTAGATGCTGGAGCACATCCTGCTGTGGGCTATATGCAGGGGGGGGGGCAGGGGTGGACAGCAGCCACAGGACGTGCCGTACAGATGTGCCAAGGCCTGGGGGTGCCGGCTGCTGAGAGCTCGGGTGGGACCCCTGTTGGGGCAGCAGGGGCAGCTCCTGGCTATGTTTAATAATACATTCTTGGGATGAGCTATCTTTTCTCAGAAGAACTGGATTAGAAATACACTGGCACAAAAGCAGCTGCACACTGGTTCTGGAACCAGCTCCACGGCCAGCTGAATGCCCAGGGTGTGCCCAGCCTTGTGGAGGGCGGGGGGTAGGGGGAGAGCCGGAGTAAACCCTGGAATGTCAGGGAAGGGCTACTATCTGCTAGGATTACAGATGCATCTCCCTTACAACAGAAAATGAATGTTAAAGTTTTGGCAAATCTGGGTTTTCACAGCAAGCCCACTAAAATGAAAAGAAAGTCCATAAGATAAGGAAACCTTATCTCCATTTTATTCTCAGAATCTTAGACAGTGGCCTGGCCTGTGGAATGCACATGACTATTTGTTAAACAAATATACCACAGAAGAATTCCAAATGCCTTCATAATGTGGAACCAGAAATTCATGTCCCTGAGAAAGGGTAATGTACACAGAAGCCTTTATCTACCTAGGAAGAGGGTGGGTGCAGTGAATTCTACACTCAACCCAGGAAACTCTAGAACAGCACGGTCCGACAGCTTTCCACTTCCGCAGACTGCCCTGTTTGACAATCTGTGCTGTCCAGTGTGACCGTCACTAACTTCCCCATGGGACTCATGGGTGCTTGAAATGTAACTGAATTAACTATAACTTGTGGGACTGAATTTTTAGTTTTACTTAATTTTAATTAATTTGAATGTAAATAGCCACATACGGCTAGTGGCTACAGTGTTAGACGGCACAGCCCTAGAAAGCAAAACTATTTGTAGCTTCTGTTTTATTTTACCACAAAAATGACAACAGTGTAACTATCTAAAATGCTAACATTAAAAAAATATGTATTTTACTCCCACATTCTCCAGAAAATGAAAACATCAGAACTATCCAAAATATTAAAACAAAAATAAGCCCAGATATTTACTCACATCCCCTCAAGAAACAAGCTGGGTCTGGCCTCGCGTAAGCTTGGCTGGGCACTCTGAGAGCCACTGCGAAGGGAGTCACAGAGATTACAGCAGGCCTCACAGGGGCGCTCAGAGGACCCCGCGCTTCCCAGGGGCCCTGGGCACCGCCCGTAAATACCTGTGCTGAGGGCTGTCCGCCCAGAGGGATGGAGCTGGACTGGACGGCAGACACGGTGGTGGTGGGCGGGAACCGGGCTCTTACTTGCATCCCGCCTTGCGCCAAGGCTGCGGTGATCATCTTGAGGACAGAGGGACAACAGACAAGGTGATCGCAACAAAGAAACGCAGTGCAGGGGCGGGTGGAGTGGGGTGCGCAGCCTCCGTGACAAGGGCGAGGAGCCTTAGGGGCTACAGGCAGCCTGGCCTATGTGTTCAAGCCCACAGCACGGCGGCCCACCTAGGCGCGGGGAGGCCAGAGGAGCCGCCAAGAACGTTGCCCCCGGACCTTCCTGGTCTGTCGGCCGCACCCCTCCAACACGCTTCTGAGCTGCTGGTACGCCCACAGAGCCTTCAAGGCCAGGCCTCAAGGGTCAGGGGTGGTGTTTCTGCGAGCCCAGGCTCCTGGGACAGTCTCTGAAAAAGTACACTCTACCAAAGCTGGTTAGAAGTCAGCTGTGATTAAACTGGAGAAAGTGGCCAGGCAAGCCGGCCCATAGCACCTTTCCGTCCCGACAGCTGCCTGATGAGAATGCCTTCGAGGGCCTGGACTCAACTGTCCTCCTCTCTTCCAGGAGTATGAGTTTCTACTGGGGAAGCAGCTTGTAACTAAAATCGGGGGAGGCAGGCAAGGGAGGCCTGGGGCTCTGTCTGAAGCCTCTAGCTCATGAGAAGGTGCACCTCCCCAACGACATGGGTCAGGCGTGTCCCTAATCACAAGGTGACTCCAGACTCCAGAACCCCAGTACACACTGGGAGCGCTCTCCTCATCAACCTGTACTGAAAGCATCGCGGCAGCACTGCTGGGCGCCAGGGCCTGGCCTGCACTGATGGGGACTCTCGCTCTGAGCTGAGCTGGGGATGGAGAACAGGCCTGTGCACACTCACAGCTGTTCAGGTGAAATCCAACTAAAACCACGCAGCTCCTCAGAAAGGGAGTGTAATGATCTGTGGAAAACAGAACATCTGTCCTAGGAGGGTGGGAGCCAGTCCCTGAGAACGAAGCAGCACTGGAGGCCATTCCGTGCACGCGGCGACGTGCGCCAGGACGGAGGTCTGAGGCAGGGGAAAGGCCCAAGGGCAGACCTCTGGCATCACAAGTGTGCCCCACACTCACATCCACGGGTCACATGCAGCAGGCACCGCAAGCTGGGGGCCACACACGCAGTAGCAGATTCCAACCTGAACCTCCCACCAGCTGCAGGAATGGGGCAGCCGGCACGCAGGGCTGGGAGCAGACACTCCTGTGGCCGCCCCGGCAAACGAACTGGTGGTGGTGGGGGACGAGGAAGCCATTCTGGCGTCTGCCAAACACAGCACCGTTCTGGAGAGCCCACAACTCACGAGCCGATCAGACACAAAGTGGGACCCTGGTGAGGATGTGAAGACAGGAAGCCTCGGAGAAACATGGCTCTTCCCAAACCCAGGCTGGGGCCAAAAGGCCCTCTCTTCTGGGTGTGGCTCTCAGCCCGTGGTCAGGCGGGGGTAACAGTGAACAGTGTCCATTTACAGCCGTAGGCGCGCTGCACTTGGAGGAGCCCATCTGAGCCCAGTGGACACTCAACAGGGCTCCTTCCAGAGGCAGAAAGGCCTGGAAGTAAGTCAGGTGGTACAACAGAGTTGCAAATTTTTTTCCAGGAAGAAACAAAAGTAATGAGGAATGAAAGGTTAAATCTAATTTGCTGCTGACTGGTTTTCTTCTAACTGAGAAATCCTGGGAGGAAAAACCCTTTTTCTTTTAACCACAAATTCTAATGAAAACACAACAGTACTGTTTACTGGATCTGATGAGCAAGGCAGCGAACACCCAGCAACTCATTCTCCCATTCTCCTGAATGACTACATTTCTCTACCTCCCAAGACACATCTGCCCAGGAGGGAAGTCAACCTCCATCCCGACGGCTGCGGGCTGGCTCCTCCGCGTTCACTGGGCAGGAGGGCCCGGGAGAAGGAGAGGGGGGCCGTGCAGGGCGCCACATCAAGGAAGTATCTTTGATAATTCTTCATAACTGAAGAATTATAGTTAAGTTTCCATATACCAAGAGAATAAAATGTTAGACGATAAAAACACAGGGACTATTTGGAAATGGAGACACATTCTGTTCTGGTTTTATCTGCAGTCTTCCATTAGGGAAGAAATGGAAGTTAGTGCAGCTAACTTCCTGTGTACCCTAGTAAATCCCACGGTGGTGACAGTGACGTCGGTTTCCTCACTTACAACAGTAACGTCAGAAACGAGAGCCAGCCATATAGAGACGACGTACACTGATTTTCCTAGAACACCAAAACCCCAAACTCAGCCCTGGGTTGAGCCCCATCGAGCATCCGACAAGGCCCCTCTTTTCTCCTCTGAGGGGCAGGCTTGAGGGACAAAGCATGGAGGCCACCAGCTCAGGCCCAATCTCGGCACTTCTGTCACAGAGCCAGCGCTTGCCCCTGCGTGCAGCAGCTTACATATGTGAAGCTGCAACACGTGGCCAGTGTCCTGCCTTCAGATGAGAGGGCTCCACATGGGAGTCCTAGCTTGTGTCTCTGAACTGGTATATGACTGGCTGATATACTTCGATGATATCAAAGTGACCCAGGGACTCACTTCTGGGAAGCGTTGGGAAGCAATCCACAACCTAACCAGACATCAGGACATACATCCCTGGTAACAGCAAAAAACTAAAAATAATCTCTGGATCCGAAACGGGACAGTAATTAAGGTCAGTAGGATACATTCATAAGAGGAACACTACCCATAAAATAATGTTGACCAAGAGATTTTAATTATAGAATGTTTTACTTCAATTGTAACGTGACCAGGAAATAAGCTACACACAATACCCTATGCATATCTTATGACCTTGACTATGCAAGAACTGAAAAGATACCAAACTGTTCTGCCCTGAAATATTTCCCTTATTTATAGTTCTCTCAACTATCCACCTTCTATTTTTAGTCACCACATATTTTTTAAAGTTTTCGAGTCAGAGTATCTCTTGCCTTGTTTTGTCCACTGCACCAACCCAGGCTGCAGAGGAAGGCGGTGAATCCAGTGACCCCCCGGGAGGGCCTGTCCCATCCTGGACACCCCACCGCTAACAGAAGCAGGGATGCCAGCAGACCGGCCCCCACGAAATCGTACTGCCTGTCACGAGCCCAGAGATGAACGGCAGACCAGGGGCCGAGCACTGCCAGGGTTCTGCATCTGGGCTGAGAGGAACAGCACAAACATGCACTCGCATGCCTGGGCCTCAAGAACACTCACTCTGCTGCCAGCACCTGGGAATCCTACCGCAGGCCACACAGCACAGGGTGAGGCCTCTCACCCACTCTGGCCGACCCAGGTCTGTGAGACACTGGAATGAGATGGGCATTGCTCTTAGAAAAACAACAACACTGGAGGCGCATTCTTTGTAAAACCAAACCCACCCCTAATTACTCAAGTGGCTTCTCCTTCATCCTCCCCACCTACCAGAGGCCCCACTTGAAGAGAAGAGACCCAGTGCCCCCTTAGTTCTGCCTGCCTGCAGCCCTGTGTGCTCCACCCTGAGGGAAAGAAGGTTATTATAAATCAAGGTTACTCCAGAAGTGACTGAGCCCATGGCGGAACCCACAGTCAAGCTCCAGAACTGGCTGGACTGAAACCTCCAGTAGAAGCAAAGAGCAGAGCAACAGCTGGGAAAAGCAGTGCCAAACATGGGCTCACTGCACAGTACCGAGCACACACACCTGCACCTGCTTTTGGAAGGTGGAGACACGACAGGGAAGTTACAGGGAGTATACTTCCTTCCGCTAGAAGCCTAGGGATAAACCAGGAGGATGGGCCCAGACCATTGGAAGATGTCAACTGCCCAATGGTGGTTCATTCTCAAACACCAAAGAAATGGAATGAAAAGGGAGGTTTTTCTTCAGAATGGCCCACTGCAAAGTAAAAAATGTCAAGCCTCTCACTTTCCTACGAGACCGGACCTGAGGACCAGAAGTTTCCGTTATGAATGGTCCTGGGACAGAGGAGGGAGGGCCACAAAGTGACAAGGGCAGTGGCTTCTGTGGGCGGAGCGGGTCATGGTTCTAACCAGGTACCACCTCCTTCTCCACATGAGACACCAAAGAGGAGAGAGTCCTAGGAAACCTGAGGACAAGCTCAGGACACACAGTGGTGGAAGCAGAAACAGACTCCAACCTGGTCACGAAGGGGAGCCAGCCCCCTCCCCAGCTAACGATGTGAAGTCCATGGTGTGTTTTGCACAAGGCCATGTCTGGGCAAGCCGGCGATGCAGGGAACTCTGGGCCCAGGTTGTTTGGTGCGGTGACCCTGGAGGCCACTAGGCTGGCTCAGCTGTATCCAAACCCCTAGGGCCCCTCATCAGCAAACTTCTCCTCGGGCAGCTTCCCACGACTCCAGCAACGCAGCTGGGACCAGGAAAAACTGGTTCTGAGCCCACTCCCTACAGTGAAATGTCACCTGACACTAAAGGAACACACCAAATCCCGGAGGGCTTAACACGTGGCCCTGTGCACCAGACAGGGAGCTCGGCGCACTCACAGATAACAAGCGGGACAGGAATGCAGCGTGGCCCTGGGGGGCAGTCGTCTCAGCACATCTACTGGCACGTCTGCTCCATCTAAAGCCAACTCCCTTCAGAGTCGGGACTATTGGCACTCCTACCGCTGGGTGGTGAGAGGAAGAAATGAGGCCCCAGACTAGATGTCTCCCCACCTCAGCACCAGTGCAAGGCAAGGGGGGTGTCTCTAGGGAGAAGTCACAGGGCAATCTCCAACCCCCAGGGACCAACAAGAATCTGGCCTCTACCAGGAAAGGCGGCGCAAGGCCGCCTCTGTCCCACTGACATCCAGTACACAGAGAGTAGACACAGTGGCCTTGGCCATGCTTCCCAGCACAGGGGCAAGTACCAGAAGCCAGCCAGGCAGAGGACCACAGCACAAGCCTGCGCTGTCAGCTGGAGCCAGATGCTACCATTCGCGTGCTTTTCCCAGTGTCTAGAGAACTGCTCCCCACCCGCCACCAGCCCCGTACTCAGAGCGGAGGCAAGGACGAGACTGCAGTGCTCCCCTCTCCAATGAGTGGCCTCAGAAAAAGGAAAGAGGTAGGATAAAGGACATCAGAGGAGAGGCGGGAACAACATGTGCACTAATGCAGCTGGGGAACCCAGAAACGATCAAGCAGAGCTGGCTACCCCATGACCACAGGGACCAGCTCCAGGAAAGCTGTCATCTCGCCAAGTGCCGGGGAAGAGAAGCCCCATGCTTTACCAACCTGGCCCCTGATCCAACCACGACCCTCGCCACATTGTGCGGAAATCCAGCTCCATTTCCAAGTGGACATGCACCTGCTAGCAACTACAGCTCTTGGCTCTGATGGCCCTCACCTGGACTCCAGAACCCACTATCTGGGGGGCCTGAGCTGTCGGCACCGCTGTCTGCTGCTGCACCTGTGGCTGCACCTGCGGCTGCTGCACCACCATCGGAGCGCGGACCTGAAGGAAGAAGGAAGAATGCAATTTGTAGCCACAGAGAGCAGAGCACCTACTACTTCTGGGGGAGCTTTGAGTCTTGAAGATTTTTGTGAGGAGGATGGGATCAGTACGACTTTGTGGGGTATGTCACCTTACTGGCTGTTCCTTACCCCCTAACCCATCAGAAATGTCCCATACCATCCTGGCTTTGGGCTGGCAGCTAAACCCACCTCCTGTAACTCTGGTGAGAAGTGCAGCCTTCCCACTGAGATGTCACCACCGGCTACCACTGCAAGCAAAGCAAAGGCTCCAACTGTACAGCCCAGCCTGCTCAACCTCTGGGCCAAGCATGCTGACAGTCTACAAGAGTCCCACTTGGAGCCCTGACGCCTCAGAGGGAAACAGGGTGGCTGGCCAGCCAGCAGCAGGCTGGCTCCCCGGTGACAGGTGTGCTCATACCTGCTCCTCACAACTATCCCTAGCCCCTTGGCCTGTCCCTGTGGGCCTTCTATTCACCTTCCACTCGGTTCAGGCCTGGTCTGTCCCTAATCCATTCAATGAATCACAGAAGAAGCCATGAAAACCAAGGAAGTGAGCCAAAATAAAGAAGTAACACCCCTCCCCGCAAAAAGCATTAAAATGGCCCCTTGATTCAGCTACTCCTAAATTGGTGACGATATTCTGTCATCTGTGTAAATGTCCCTAATTGAATCTGCTTTGAACAGAGAAGCCTAAAGAGAAAGTAACATTTTTATATTAATATCCCGCTCAGAAATATGGTAATGACAGGTGTCTTTGACCAGGAACTCTGAGCAGCTAAGCAAATCACCATGGGTACTCAATGGAGGGGACATGTCCCCACCAGAGTGAGAATGCACGTGCTGCTGTCCATCTAATCGTCCACACTGCTAAGATGGCTGTGGCCACCACCGAACTCAGCCATGCTGCTTGGAAGACAGAACGCTCCCCCAGTAGCAGGGCACCCTCCGTGCACCATGCAGGAGCTCTTGGAACACACACTCCCTCATTCAGCCAGATGTGGAGGCCAGCATGGGGAAGGGCTGTCCGAGTCCCAGTACTTGAAGAAAAGACATGCCATCAATAGGTAGGGAGCCCCAGAAACTGCTCATGGCTACCAGCTGCACGTGATACCAGGGAAGAACTATGAGCCACCATGAGTCACGGGTACTCACAAGTTTCAGCTGTGGTTGGGTGTACAGCATCTGCCCAGGGAGGGTTGGAGCCTGCGACACCAAAGGCTGAGTCTGTGACTGCGGCGGGAGCTGTGATGGTTGGTTCTGAGCAACTGGTGGCTGCTGGGGCTGGGGCTGAGGCTGGTGGTGCTGTGGGTGATGCATCTGCTGCAGCTGCTGAGGCAGGGCCTGGGAGAGGGGCGGCTGTGGTTGCTGCATTGGTGGCTGCTGTATTGGTGGCTGGGCCTGCAAAGCCTGCTGCTGCTGCTGCTGCTGCTGCTGTTGCTGCAGCTGCAACTGTGCCATCCTCTGCAGCTGCTGCTGCTGCTGTTGTATCTAGGGGCAGAACAAGCAGCACCCCATCACCACAACAGCCTCTGGGCCCTGTGCCAGCCTTGCCTCCCCGGAAGCCTACCCTGGCTGCCCTCACATGGGGCAGAGGGAGCACGTCCCACAGAAGGACACTGAGGACACATGCCCTAGACATCAGATGCTGGTCCACATCTAGGCCTGAGAGGATGAAAGAAGACTCAAGGGAAATATCAGGAGGGTTTAGTAAAGGGTAACATAAGGGTACAACACCATAGAAGCTGGGGTAAACACTAGGTGATGCAGGTCTCTGAAGCCACTCTGGTGATGCTGCTTGCTTGGTCCCTACAGTGGCCAACAGTACAAGCCTCACAAAGACAGCCAATATCTGCTTTTCAGGATGAGGATGAAAAGTGGGCTGAAGATTCCCTGTTGGCTCTGGGAGAGAAGCCTCCAAGATCCAGGAGGGTGGCCACTGGGGAAAAGGAGGCAGAGAGCCAAGGCCTGGAGGAGATGGAAAAGTGCAGAGGTCCCCTCGGAGACTCTCCCCCTCAACCAAGAACGGACCTAACAATAGCCGCATAACTGATCTGGAGCCTGACTGCAAACCATGAGATAAAGAAAGTGTTTTCTTAGAAGCAGGGCTTCTCATTGACATTGCCATGATCCTGTGGGACACTAGATGGAGGTCGATTAGTGCTGCATCTGGACACCAAACAAGCCCAAAGATGGCTCAAGCATTCCTGCATTTTGGAGTGTTCCTTTCATTTCTTGATTCAGTTAACTCTCGCATGAATCACTTGAAGCCAGAGCCTCCAGTGAGTCAGCCCCCAGCACACAGTAAGTCTGCAGCTAGACACCCCAGCATGGCAGAGGGGCTCTCCTTGCACGATCACAGCAAGTCAGGGCCTATTTCTCCTCCGTGTCCCAGGCTCTGTGGAAAGCCTATGAAGAAGGAAGCTGAGGCACCAGGGGCCAGGAGGATCCGCTGCTGGCTCTGGGCCCCTGCGCCTAGCATAGTGGTTGGTGTGTGTCCAGGGCTCAAATGTCACAGGAGGGAGAGCACCTGGTACCTGTTGCTGGTTTTGATGCTGCAGTTTAATCAGGTGCTGCTGCTGCTGTTGTTGCTGTTGAAGCTGCTGCTGCTGCTGCACCACTGCCTGGAATTGCTGCTGCATAGCATTCTGCTGAGCCTGGAACTGTTGCTGCTGCTGCTGCTGCTGCTGTTGCTGCTGCTGCTGTAACGCCACCTGCTGCTGCTGGAACTGTTGCTGTTGCTGCTGCTGCTGCAATGCCACCTGCTGAAGCTGCAGCTGGGCTGGAGACAAGACCCAGGAATCAGGCGCAGTAGTATGAGGCAAGCGACAGGCAAAGGCCCATTTCCCAGCGCTGTGCACACAGGTAGAGTGGTAAGACTACCTGCTGCCCCGCCCACTGCTGGGGTTGCACAGATGTGATGGGAACAGCATTCATGTTGATTACAGACTTACTATTATGAACTGCTCTATAATAATGAAGAAAAAAAAGAAGAGGGCTAAGTTTTTTTGGATGATCGAAAGGCCAAGCCTCTTGTGACCACTAACTTACTTTCTGCCTTTATGGATTCACCTATTCTGGACATTTCAAATTAATGGAGTCTCACAGTATGTGTTCTTTGTGACTGGCTGCTTTTGCTTAGCATATAACAAGGTTCACCCATGCTGTAGATGTATCAGTATTTCATTTCTTGTTATTGCCAAATAGGATTCCACTATACAGATTTCCCACATTTAGTTTATCCATTCACCAGCTATGGACATTTGGGTTGTTTCCCTTTTTTGGCTGTTATGAATAATGCTGATATGAACAATCATTTACAAGATTTTCTGTGGAGCAATTTCTTTTGGAGTGATGAGAAGGTTCTAAAATTGACTGTGGTGATGGTTGCACAACTCTGTGAATATAATAAATACTACTGAAAGCTTTGCTTTAAATGGGTAAACTATATGGTACGCAAATTATACCTCAACAAAGCGCTACAAAAAAAGAATACAGAGAGATCCTATGTACACTTTGACCAGTTTCCACCTATGCAAACTCCTATTTTCCATGTCCTCTTCTCTGGGCTACATTCTATTTAATGTCTTTAAATGTAGCTTCTAGTTCACAAATTCTTTCTTCAGTTTTTTGTTTGTTTGTTTTTTTAAATTCCAGAGAGAGAGGAGAGGAGGGGGAGGGAGGCGAAGGGAAGTGGAGGGAAATGGGTGGGGGGACATCAATGTGAGAGAAACATTGATCGGTTGCCTCCTGTATGTACCCTGACAGGGGACTTGGGACCAACCCACAGCCTAGACATGTGCCCTGTCCAGGAATCAAACCTGCGATCTTTCAGTTTATGGGACAACACTCCAACTGACTGAGCCACACAAACCACGGCCTTTCTTCAGCTATATATAATTTGCCATTTATTCACCCATACTTTCTTCTTTCAAAAAATTTTTTTTCTCAATTTCTGCAAGTTCTATTTGGTTCCTTTTCAGATCTGGTTGGTCACTCCTGATAGTATCACAGGGCTTGTTCATTTGGAAGTCATCCTTTATTTCTTTAAGCATGCCAAGCCCATATCTAACAATTGCTGTGTGTGCGGTCCCTGGGAATTTCCACATCTGTTTATTGTTTCTGTTCCTCCTCATGGTGTCTTCGCTTCCTTTCACGCCTGCTGATCTTTGTGGGTCCAGTGCTTGACCTTAACTGCAATTCCCACAGTCCTAATCTTGAAGTATTCTCCTCCAATCTGCCCTTGCTTCTCGGGGAGCTGGGGATGCCACAGGACTCAGCACAAATCCTGCTGGATGGAGGGATCCCAGGCTTGCTTTCCCCCATCTTGCAGCGGGCCAAGGCACGGCAAGGCAAAGAGCGTCCCCTACCTTCTGCGAGCCCAGCAATCCAAAAAGCAGCCTACCCAGGATCTAGTTATCCAGAAGAAGGAGGGTTCCTCAGCACCCAGTCTGTCAAACAGCCAGAAACAGCACTTATTTTTTTAAAGTCGGTTTTACACACACAATATAAAATTCATTGAGGAACAAAAATGTACAGAGTGATAATAAGTCTCACTCCAACCCTTCACCCCAGCCCACAGCCTCATCTGCAGTCAGCACTCAGGTTTCCTGCGACCACCCTGGTCACATGGAGACTACCACCGCGCACCCCGCGCTGCACTTTGAGGGCCGTGGCGAAAACTGACAGCCCTGCCCTCTGGGGGCACTGGATTAAGGCTTGAAGTGAGATTTGGAAAAAATGTGAGAAAGGGATAGCAAATGCGTATTGGGCCATGACACCTATTTCAGGTAGTTTAGGCAGCAAGAGTACAAAGGCAGGGAGGGAGGGTCTCAGAGAGAGGCAGCAGCAAGGCAAGAAAGTGGAGAACCCACTTCAACCTTCCTCTGGTGCCACACGGGAGACCAGGTTCCTCAGAAGCTGAAAACAGGATGTGGGTCAAGGTCAGACTGGGGAGGGTGCTGGCAGGATACCAAAGCTTTCGCCACTGAACTGACAAATAATGTCTTAGGTGTGAGATTGCAGGACAAATCATGGGGACATTCTAAGCTCATACATATAAAACTATTTATTATAAAATATGTTTGTGATAAAAGAAATTCAACCAGTACACCAGAGTATAATGTAAAAAGGAGCCAAAGCCACCACCTTTCCTGCACATTCTTCCATAAGCTACCTTGTATGTGTATCAGGCATGCTGATAAGACAAAAGGGACAAAGGAGCTCAAGATGAAGAACCGAGTGAAGAACTAGTCTGACTGCAAGACATCAGTAAAGAGAAGAGAATGAAGACCCGAGAAGGAAGGGGATGTCTGTGGATGGAAGGTTCCAGTGCAGAAGTGGGTCAAAATGAGGACACATGTGGCATCTGAGAAGAGCAAGGCAATGCTAGTACAGGGTGCTCAGCGGCAGGCAGCCTGGGCTCAACCCCAGCTCTAGGCCGCACTACCCAATGGGCAAAGCAGAGGCAGCCAAGAGAGGGCAAAGACACTGCCTTCTTCATAGGGTTACTGTAAGGACAACATGACAAAAATACATCGAAACACCACCAGCTGTACACGAGTGTTCACAGCAGCTTTATATTTCTAACAGCCCCAACCTGGAAACAACCCAAATGTCCTTCAAGGGTGAATGGATAAATAAACTTGGTACACTCAGTCCATAGAATACTACTCAGCAACAAACAGGAACAAATTATTGATACAACTTGGAGGATCTCAAGGGCATTATGCTGAGTGGAAAAAAAATGATGTCAAAAAGTCAGACATTGTATGACGCCACTGATATAACACTGGCAAAGTGACATAATTACAGAGACACAGAACAGATCAGCGACTGCCAGGGCTCAGGGTCGGAGGGCAAGTGTGATTATGAAGAGGTATACAACAGCTTGCTGGTGGCGACGTGACAATTCTGCATGCTGACTGTGGTGAGGGCCACTCAAGTCCACACACGATAAAATCTCACAGAACTACACACATGTAAGTGCGTGCACAAGACTGCATATAAAAACTGGTGACATCTGAAAAGTCTACGTGAGTTGACAGTCCTGTGCCCATGTTTATTTCTCAGTTTTGATGATGTACTAAGATGTTATCATTGTGGAAGCTGGGTGAAGGGCACATAGGAACTCTGTGCTATTCTGCAACTTCCTGTGACTCAAAGTATTTAAAAAAAAAAAAAAAGTTCTACAAGGGGAAAAGAAGTACTGAAGACTGCAGTCCTGGAGTGCATTAAAAGTACTGAATAAATGTTTATGAGAATTGAAGGTCCACCAAGACAGGTCCTGGAAAGAATGGGGAGACCCGAGCTATAGTCCAGCTTCTAGAAGGGGCAGCTGAGTGCAGAAGACAAGGGGTTGTGTCCTGCAGCACAGTGCAAAGAGGCTCCTGAGATCGGGGCAGTCCCAGGGTTGTGGGTTGCTAATGGCACTTCTTCAGGACCAAGAACACTCTGAGATATAACTGTTTCCATTACGGCTACACAATACAGCCCCTTGGATGGAGCCCCAGGACACCCCAACCTCCTCCAGGTCCCCCACTCCCACCCAGGGTAGCAGGAAGGCTTCAGTGTCACTCAGCTCCTCTGGTAGCCCACAGAATGTTTGGAGACTTTTCTCTCCATACCGACAAAGATAAAAAGAGCTTCTTGGAGCTTCTCCATGAGTTCCGGGATAGCGTCTTAAGCAAAGGATTAAATGCACGTTGCCTCCAAAGAAAGCAGCAGATTCTCTGAGAAGTGCAGTACTCACTCTGTGGAGTTGCCGTGGACACAACAGCCATGCCATGGGGGGCCATCCCTGAGGTGCCAGGGGGTGGCTGCCCGGAGAGGGTCATTGGCTGACCCATGGCGCCAAGGCCTCCCATCCCGCCTAGGGACTGTCCTGGTCCCCGAGAAGGCATGCCAATTCCGGCTGCTCCCGCAGCAGGTCCTCCAGTCAGGCTCTGTAGTGCATTCATCGGGTCTGTGGGAACACAAGGCACAACGTCTCGGGGAAGTGCCCACTGAATCGGGCGAGGCTCTGAAGGCTGTCAGACCTCATGGAACACACACTTCCTGCTGCCTCCAGGCTCAACTCAAAGTCCCAACAACTGAGAGGCCAATGTCCTGGAAGCCTCCCCAACTGCCTGTCAGGGGGAGTAGAACGCCTTGTGTGTTTTCTACTTCTTCTAGAGCCCTCCTGGGCAGGGAGCATGCCCCACACTCCCAGTCTGGCCTGTACCAGGATCCTGCTGCTGAGGGACAGACTTGCCCTCCAGGGAAGGTGGGGGCCCCCACCCCTTCTGGCTGTACAAACCTTCCTGCCGGGTGAGCACACAAAGGCCCTTCTCCAAGTAAACAAGAACATGGGGCAGGGTTTGGGGGGGCGGATTTTTTCCAGGGAGGTTACACGTCTCCTTGCACACCAGGAGGCGACCTCTGCTAACGTGCAGGACCCCCACTGAGGAACAGCTCTCGGGACACACTCCGATATCCAGGGCCACCATACCCAAACAAGTCAAGGCATGAAGGAGAGGCCCAGAGAGAGCTAAGGAGCACTACAACACTCGTCAAGCCCGCCGGGTCTGCAGACTCAGCTCGATGATCAATGCTGAACGGGGACGAGGAATCTGATGCTCTCGTCACATGCTCTGGGCGCACACTCTCATGAGTCTAGGCTCATGGCAAACATCTAGCTGCAGAGAGGTGTGGCCTGGCCTAGGCACCTTGCTACAGAACTGGGTACCCAAGGACTCTAACTCTAATGCCAAGAACCCAGACATCCTCCTGGCCCTGTACTCTAATCCCACCTGGCCCCCAGCTGGCTGAGAATCACTATTCATGCAAAGAGACCCTGAGAGGAGATGGGGCCCACACAGGCAGGTGCAGTTAGCTCAGCTGGGGCAAGCATGGGCATTTAGCATACATATGCGGTAGGCTGGCTCTCTTCCTGACAGACTAGAGTTTATTTGGTCACCTTGGACCTATGTTCCTTCACTGGCAGCTCAGTCACTGAAACCAAGGTTGAATCATCAGACAGGGTCCCCCTATGTGTGATGAAGCCTTGAAATTAAAAAATAATGATAATTTTTAACAAAGAAACTTTGTAACTTAAGAAAGATAATTCTTTTTTAAGAACTACTATATGCTGTTAAACTGAATATACCATGACAGTTCTCTCCCAGAAAGCTCAAAATTTTAGATAATGTCTCAATAACTCCATGAGTTTATATAATCTTTTTGCTGGACAAAAACTGTATTTAAGTGAAATGCAATGGGGCAGCATCATCTTATAGGCACAGGAAGGGGGGGGACGGGGAGTGTGGGCGCAGCTCCACAATCCTCACGGCCAGCCAGAGGTCCTCTCTCTGCGAACTTTGTCCTCTAGTTAACAGCTAAATCCCAGACACACGTGGCATCCGCAATCTCATTCCTGCTGCCCCAGATCCAAGGTTGGGAAAAATTAGAATTCAAAAAGGAAAAATTCTTACCACTGACAGAAGCTTGAGATTTCTTGTTATCTATATTTAAAAAAAAAAAAGTAAACAAAGTTTTATATAACCACATATTTCCAAAGTCAGTTTTACAAGCATTTGCCCAGAGGTCATTTGCTAAAACTGGGCTGACCCTGCCTAGAAACTAGATAAAACATACCTCAGAGCTTCAGTGAATGTGTGTGCATGTGAGCACACGTGCGTACGTGTGTCCCACTCCTGGCAGTGCCAATGCACGAAGAGGCTTGGGGGAAGAGGCTTGGCCCACGGTCAACCTGCGGCCTCAGAGAACAGTCCCCAGGCAGAGGCTCACTCACTCTGGGCCCAGTCTAGCTCTCCTTCCTTCCCAGGCCCATGGTCTCAGCTCATGCCCTGAGCCACAAACACAAAAACTACAGGGACCCAAGACGGGCCCAGAATGATGCTGAGAACGTGACACCTCCATTGTCAGCCTACACTGGTGAGGCGGCATCTCCATTTTTTAGAGGAAACTGAGGCTGGCCAAGGCAGGCTGGAAGCCACATCTAGCTGGCCCCAGTGTCAGGTGGGATGCTGCCACACCAGGTCCACCCTCAGGCGAGGAACCAGTGAGACGGCTGTGGACACCCTAGTCCACACGGTTGTGTGCACCAACATACCAGGGTCACCCCCTGAACAGGCCAGCCCAGCCCCAACAAGCAGAGTCTCTGATCAGGACAAACCAGGGCGGTTCACCCAGGCTGCTCATTCCCCAGGCTCCTACTTCCATCTCCTCTTGTTCTATACTCCATAGGACTTCCCCAAACACAGCAAGAAAATGAAATCAAGTGACATTCACCTAGCTGGCAGTCCTGGTAAAAAGTTAGTGTGGAAAGAAGCAAAACCTACTGGCCACACAGGGGCTCTGGGGTTCTCCCTTAGCCCAGGATCACTGACAATGAATCTGCAGCTGCCTCTACAACTGTGGGAACAGCAACTGGACCTACCAAGCGCACCCTCCAGGGGCAGGCTGCGCCAGGAGCCCATCTCCCATGGTAACAACCGCAAGCAGACAGGAGGTGCTGCTGCCTGAAACCACAGCGTGCCCCACCAACCCGTTTCCTGTAGAGACTGCAGCCATCCAGGACCACTCACTGTCTCCACAGGAGACCACCAAGACCCTGACCTTGGGATGCAATGACATTCACTTCTGAAGAGCCATGCTACTGCTAGGCCTGGCTGATGGGGGCCACAGCAGGACCCGGGGAATCAGAGGAGATGGAATGTGGTAGGACCTGGGTGTCCCTCACCATGGCAAGGAGCCAGAGGCAGGGTTGAGGAAGCTGGACTCAGAAGCTTCCAGCCTGACAGGAACACACATTTAGGTCAGGCCTCTGTGGGCCAATAAAACCACCTATTAGGGAAAGAAGTTTCTATTCCCGGGTAAACTGCTTAAGAACTGCCTAGAAATAAAAGCAACAGTCCTTTTTTAAAAGGAGATTAAATGGATAAGCAAAAACAGCAGTCCAGTTTAAACCGCTTTGAGGTTAACATTTCCATTATGCCAAACTCAGCATTTTTGAGGCTGAGGCTGGTGGGGGGGGAGGGGATGGGAAATATAGAATCAAATGCAAAGCAATGAAGAACTTTCCAGAAAGCAGGCATTTTTACACAGACATTCTAAATCAGGCACCGTGGCCAAGTAAGCCTCCACCGCACAAGAGGACCAGTCTCTTAACAGCAATCACAACCAGAAATGTAAAGTTTTACTTACGAATGTCTCGAAAATGGATAATGAGCCTGGCCACGAGAGAAAGGTATTCGTCCTAAAAGTAAAAACAGGAAGCAGTTTAATCCAAGATGAAGAAGTGAAGCCACTGCTGTCCCTTCCCACCCCCTTGCCACCAAGCTGCGGGCTCTTCCTGAAAGGCTGCGGGGCCCAGGCGCCCGCGCACCAAGGACGGTGCTCTGCCCCGCGGGGCCTCCCCTGGAATCTCTCGCAGAAGAAAGCCGTCAGGGCTCAGCAGGGCTCAGCAGCCGCAGGCCAGCAGAACGCACAGAGAAACAGAAAAACAAGGGCACCGAGACTTCAAGCTGCTGCTCCTTCCTCCGGCTGTAAACACTCCACCGATTGGGCCGAGTGCTAGCTCAGGCGCCCCTCTTTTCACAGAGGGGACAGTAGGTCCAGTGGGGATGAGGGGCTGTTCTAAGGTCACAAGGCATATCAGAAGTAGTCATGGGCGGGTCGCTTTTGTCTTTGCACTATTTGTATTGAAGTACTTTCGCTTTTAATACCCAGCCTGTTGCTTTTTCACTGCTGACGTCACACTTACATGCAAATCTGGATGTGTGCCCCTGGCTGTGCTTTTGGAGATCTGTGTTCATCTGAATCTACAACACAGGCAAGGGAGAGGACACAGGGTCACTCAAGGGTGGCAGGTGAAGGCCACGGCTGAAGGCCCTCTTTGTCCCAGCTGCTGTGTTTCTGGAACTGCCCAGCAGGGCCTGCCTTCCACCAATTGTGCTCTTTGCAACCAAGGACACCCACTCCCGGGTGTTCCCGGGAAATCACTGCTGTAAATTTGTCCCGTAGTCAACAAAGGGATGTCTGAGTTCAGATCTTATTTCACAGGCGCTGAACATCCTCCCCCTCCTCAAAATGCCCATCCTCCCATCAAGGCAGCCCCAAAGGTGCAAAGCCTTCACTGTCTGCCCTGCTCACATGACCCTCCTCCTAAGTCTCTGAGGGTCGACTTGACAGCAGACTAGTGAGACAAGGCCTAGGACCCAGCCACGGCACCTGCGGTAGAACGGCCCCAGGACACGCGCCTGTGAGCCCAGGGACACACAGTGAAGCTCTGTCGTAAGAATACCTCCAGGGAAAGGGAAATAAAATGAAAGTGGTCTCAGATGAATATAAAACTCTAAGTACACTTTTTAAATCTTTACTATCCCTCATCTATCTCCAAACTTGAGCCACCACTTTTTCAGCCAGGGAATCAGCAGGGGAAACCATGAGGGGAAGGTCCCAGGAAAGGCGGAGCTGGGTGATGAGCACACCCAAGGAGGCAGGTACAGAGAGAGGGAGAGCCAGGCTCTGCCGGAGCCAAAGGACACTTAGGATGTTGTCAGCACTACGGATTTCCAGCTGCCCCGCCGATTTCTAGCAGGAAAGATGATGTAATAGGAATGGAGGGGTCACTGGAGTCAGGGCTCCCGCGTTTGGACCACCTGCTGAGGCTGCCCCTGGAAGGACAGCACTTTGGTGAGCAAGTAGCAAGGAAGGGGCAGGGGGCTGTCTAAAGGAAGCTCAAGAAACAAGGCGGCCAAGTATGAGGTGACGAGGACTGGGAGCTTGCCAGGCCTCTGTCTCTGATGTCTTGTTAGGGCTTTGGACCATCTTTCAGATGGGCGATACCTTAAAAGAATTTGTAAAGTTTTCTCCATTTCCATAAAAGGTAAAACAAGGGAAGGAGGTTTAAAAAGCAACCAGATATTTTTACTGAAACACAAGATACAGTATATGGGGCTCAAGAGCACATCCCCAAAGCCCTTCCCATGGCACCCGGAATGAGGGCTCAGAGCCAGTGGGCAGGTGCCACCATGCAGCAGTCCCGGCACCATTCCCTGGTGCAAGGCAGGGACGCCAGCATAAGCTGCTCCTGCCTGAGGCTCTCGGGACCAGACCAGTGTGAGGAGACCTGAGGGGGAGGGAAGGAAGACAGGATGTAACCACCTGACAGGAGGAAAGGGCGCAGGACACAGTTCGGTCACACTGCTGCCAAGGGGCTTTCTTACAGGTTAAACGCATCTCCGAAACTCTCGCACAGGCGGGGTCCCTCAGGAACCACTGGGGGCTGAGTGCTGCGGGCCCGCTGCAAGGCTCCTTTCCACAGGAGGCCCAGGATCTGACACCGCACCTCCCTATGGACATAGTGTACCTGCTTCACAGGTCAATGTGAGGTCAAGTGAGCTCGCGCAGGTGAAGCACGCAGAAAAGGGCCTTGCAAGGGGACATCACCTTAGTGGGAACAAATGGGGTCCGGCCATTGTACCTGGAGCCAGACCATGGTAAGCGGGCAGGGCTGTACCGGGGGCTGGTCACATTCACACGGGAAGGATGAGCCCACACCAGGTGATTTGGTGAATCCTTTTAGACAAGTGTACTCAGGGTTTTCCTTGCCCTGGGCAGCCCTCTAGCACCTCATTTTCCTTCAGCATGGCCACTTGTGGACCTGCCAGCTTGCTGGAGTTCCAATGGCAGGTCAGCCCCTTTTCTATGGCCTCCTCCACTTCCCAGCCCCTCCTGAAATCCAGAGAAACAGAAATCACTCTTCCCCATCCTTTTCTTGCCCCAGGGCCCACCTTTTAAATTCTTTCACAGCCGCTCTAATGAGGTCGCAGGTAACAAGCATGCCAGATGCCATCTGACCTAGAGTCCTCCCAGTTTCCACCTGTGATGTAGGGCCACACTGACTGGTGTGCGGCCCCATGAAGAGCTTGAGCTGTAGTGAAAAGCTGGGCGCCAGGCCACAGTGCCTAAACGGTGTGTCTATCTCTGTAAAAAAGACAGGAGATTCCAACACCTCTTACACAGCTCTCTTCCAAACAGGGCCTCATCTTGGAATTAGGGATTCACTATAGAGCCGGCTTAAACAAAGGACATGGGACTGAAACTGCTAAGGTCTAGTGTGTGGGCTGAGGAAAGACAAAGGCCGAGATGGCGAGGGAAGTGTTGCCTGCCGGATGCTCATGCTGGCACTGCACAGGCTTATTCTGCGGCAGCCAGGCTCTGAGAGGGCCACTGGCGATCACTGGCTTCTGTACACACATGCCGTTGCTCGCATCAAAAGATGGAGGTGATTCCTACTCCCCTGAATCTGCACTGGCCTTCGGGCCTGCTGTGTCCACAGATCGTTTTCGGACTTCTGAGAACAGGCAGCTTCCACTTCCTACTCCTAGGAAGCCGGCTGCCATGCAGTAAGAAGCCCAGGCTATGCTGCTGGACACACTACGTGGGAGGAAAACCAATGTACAGACATAAGAGTAAAGCCTTATGGACCATCTGACCCAACACAGCTGCCAGCCAGATGCAGTTACACGAGAGGTCACAAGTGAGACCAACAGAATGCCAGATGGGCAATTCCAACTGTCCCAGTTCCTGACCCACAGAATCAGAAGGAATAACTCATTGCTTTAGACCACTAAGTTTTGGGGTAGTTCCGTATGAAACAATATATAACAAACAATACTGAACCAACAAGTTCAGCATTTCAAAAGTTGAAATAGCTCAATAAGCCCTCATCGAAGTTCTTTTCATTACAATACAAACTAACAAAAACAATAAAAACATCATCTCATCCCCCAAATATTTGAAAATTATATATCTAATAAGAGACTTGTGTCCAAAATATATAATGAACTCTAACAGTCAAACAATAAAAACACCACGAATCCAATTTTAAAATGGGCAAAGGACTTAAATAAACATGTGTCCGAAGAAAATACACAAATGGCCAACAGCACATGAAAAGATTTTCCATATCATTAGTCACCAGAGAATCAAATCAAAACCACAATGAAATATTCCTTTACACTCATTATGATAGCGATAATTAAAAAAGACAAACAATAACAAGTATTGATGAAGAGCAGAGAAATTGGAACCCCATACACTGTTGTTGTGAATGTAAAATGATGCAGTTGCTTCGGAAAAGAGCCTGACAGTTTCTCAAAAAGTTAAATGTAGTTACCATATGATCCAGCAATTCCACTCCTAGGTACATATCCAAGAGAAATAAAATAAAAAACTTATACACAAATGTCCATAGCAACATTATTTATAATAGCCAAAACGTGGAAACAATCCAAATGTCCATCAACTGATAAGTACATAGAATATGGCATATCCGTATGATGGAATATTACTTGGCAATTAAAAGGAATAGAGTACATGCTATGACATGATTCAAGAATGAGCCTTGAAAATATTATGCTAAACAAAGGAAGTCAGTCACAAAAACATATACCATATGAGTACATTTATATGAAAAGTTCAAAAAGGTCCAATCCACTGCAACGAAAAGCAGATAGTGGTTGCTTAGGGCTAAGGGTCGAGGGAAAATGGAGAATAACAGAATGGACATGGAGTTTCTCTTAGAAAATGTTCTAAAATTTAGATTGTGGTGATGGTGGAACAACTCTTGTGAATATCCTCAAGACCACTGAATCATATACTTTAAACAAGTAAATTGTAAAGTATATAAAGTAGATCTCAATAAAGTTGTTATGGGGTGGGAGGGAGAAAATGCTTACTATATATACCCAGAGCACAGAGCTCTCCCTTGTACATACACATACTCACAAATACACACTCATGTGCTCTGACCTTTAACACCCAACTGTATAGATGATTTCTGTTCTGGAACCTGCCTTTTCTAGCCAGTCATCTCTACCTTTCCATTTCACAAAATGTTCACCCCATCGCAGCATGCAGACCATGCTCAAATTTCCCCAAGTCACCTCTAGGTGTCTTGCCAGTGGTTTATCCAAACAAGTATCCAATCAAGGGCCATAAATAACATTTGCTTTTAACTGGTGACATATGAGCGTATCTTAGAACTCCAGCACTGTACTGAGGCACAAGGTGCTCAGAACACACCCAATGCACCAGAGAGGGGACTGGAGGTCAGGATCTATTGGGTTAGTCAAAAAGTTTATTTAGTTTTTTCTGTACAATGGCTCTAGTAGTGCTTAGATGTCTTTAACTTCATTCAAAACAATTTTGTTAGACTGTATTGTGACAGCTGTCATATCAGTGTGCATTTTTAAAAAAACTATCAAAATTGGTTAAATTTTTTAAAAAGTTTTTATTTATTTACAGACAGAGGGGAAGGGAGGGAGAAAGAGAGGGAGAGAGACATCAGTTGATTGCCTTTTGCACACCCCTAACTGGGGACCTGGCCCACAACCCAGGCATGTGCCCTGACAGGGAATCAAACCAGCGCCCCTTCAGTTTGTAGGCCAGCACTCAATCGACTGAGTCACACCAGCCAGGGCAAAATTGGTAAAATTTTGTGTGGTCATTTTAATACTGAAGATGGAAGAAAATAAGTGACACTTGTGGTGTACTATGCTTTATTATTTTAAGAAAGGTAAAAACGCAACTGAAATGCATAAAATGATTTTTGCCGTACATGGAGAAGGTGCTGTGACTGGTCGAAAATGTCAAAAGTTTGAGAAGTTTCTAAGTACTATTGACATTGTGGCCAAAGAATCCTTTGCTGTGGGGCTGTCTTATGCATTGGAAGATGTTTAGCAGCACCCCTGGCCTCTACCCACTAGAGGCCAATAGCAGGAGATAGCCGACATATTCAAAATATCCAAATCAATAAAGTTATTGGTGAAAATGAAGAATGTGTCTTTTATTTTACGGAAAACATGTAACAAACTTTTTGGCTGACCCAATATACTAAAGAGGACAGGGAAGGTGTAGTGCAGAACAAGAGCCCCAGGCGTTAGTCCCACCTTGCACAAGCTGGGTGACCTTAGACAAGCAGCCTGGCTTCTTTGTGCCCGTTCTGCTTCATTTCTAACTAAAACAGCTCCGCCCTAGGGGAAGTGCATGTATGGAAGGAGGTGGCCAGCCCAGGAGGAGTGCTCACACTTTGGAAATCTTTCCCAGCTCCTCCACCAGTGACACTCCTACCCCTGGTGCCTTGATCAAGGCCTCAATCTTCACTAGCACCACCTTCATCACTTGACAAAAGGGGACAGGAACTCTTCTGGGGCCACGTGTCAGGCCCCTGTGGGGCTTAGGTGAAGACCCCCTGGTAGAGCTGACGCTGAGGCAAGAGCCAGTTCTTACTCAGAGCACTCATCCCTTCTACAGGAGCAGCTGGGGCCCAAGTGAATGCCCTACAGGATTCCAGGGCGCGGACCACAAATGGAGGGTGCTCATAGTGAGGTCTGGGGTCAAACGCTGGGCCTGCATCCTGGGAGTGCACCCAGTTACCTCCCCGTACCTACACCATCGACACAGGGAAGACCCACGGAGTGCTGCAGGCAAGGCTGACAGCGCCTGTGACCAGTGAGCAGCCACCCCATCCCCACTCCCCAGGCAGAGGGGCTTCCAGAGTCTGCATCACACTCTCCCTTTCCTGAGCCTCTCTGCCATGGGCTCCGCCCACCAGAGTCTTACCCGGGTCTTGGCCTTTAGGAATACATGGCTCTCCATTTCCTTGCTGGATTTACTATGGGCCACACCAGCTTTTCTCATGGCATCCTCGCTGAAAGACAAAAAAAGAAGAAATGTTGACACACGTATGTGTCTGCTCCTGCACAGTTCCTGGCCAGGAGGCCCTGTACAGCAACTGCCCCTGGGTGGAAGGGGTCTGTCCCCCAACACGCCAGCCTCACTGAGGTCCAGGAGAAGCAATAAGGGAGGGGTGCTCAGCAGAGCGATGAAAGGTGGCTGAGCAAGGGAGTAAGGGAGGAGGGCCACAAGAAGGAACAGGAAAGGCGGTCACTATGAAGCAAAACAGTCACCACTGGCAAGAGTGGGCAGAGGGGCCAGGGCCTAGGGATAAGTCACAAAATCAGGTACACATTAGAAGGCTGAGGGGCCGGCCAGCCTCTGCTTCCTGCTCTCTGAATGGCCTGGGTCCCCACCCAACTCTGGCATTAAGAGCAGTGGGATCCCAGCTCAACTCTCCTTCTCTGACAAGTCCTCTCTGAGTCTCTCCCAAGGCAAAGGGGGATGTGCAGGTTCTCCAGAGGGGACCCAGGAGACAGACCACACACATGAAGAAAACATTTTAAAAGCACATTTGCCAATACACGTACAATAAAAGATGAAATCCCATCCCATCATGTCAATGCTCTGCTGGGATAGAGCCATGTACATCAGCTGAGCTTCAGCTCCCTTGGAATGGTACTGCCCACAAATGCCCGCACACACACAGTGCATGTGTTAGACAGGAAGGGGCATCTCAGGCTTGGGTCCCAAAGCCTGGCCCCTCTCCTCACAGGCTGTTTTCTTCCCTGAAGGACAGGTCTCCCTGCCCGTCTCCCCAGCACTGGGACTGCTGGTAAACAAATGAACAAACATGTCAAGGCTCTGCTGCCTCACCCAAGTGAATTAAACAAGTCCGGTCCAGCTGGGCTAGAAAGCCTTCTGACCATTCCAAACAAACGAACCCCAGACTCCTGAAAGAGCATGCACACGGGACTGCAGGATCAGATTTGTGATTCTTAAGGAAATCCCAGAAAGGAGGCTAAATACTAAGAGATGGACAAATCTGCATTCATGTATAAAGAAAATTAAAATGCCTCTGACCCATCACACTGCTGGATAACTCATTCAACACATGTGAGTTTAGGGTCCCTGCCCTCTGCTTCCTCAAGCCTGCATGGGAGGCAGCAACAGGTTCCTGCTGGCAGAGCCCCTGAGGTGAAGCAGATGCATGCACAAGGGGACGTGTGACCGGGACCACAGGAGAGGGGCGAGAGGAATGATGCACGGGGGAGACTCAAGATCCAACTCACAGGGAAGTGAGGCTGGCAGGCCAAGGACTCAGCACCCGTGTGAGGCCAGCACTCCACACGTAGACATCGAGAATGTCACCTGGTAGGCTCTAAGTCACTGAGCACTTCCGACCAGAGAAGTGACTGAGCAGACCTATCATCAGAAGGGTGCCTCACCTGTGTCCCCCAGGAGAGTGCTGTGTGAGGCAAACCCTGCCACAGAGCCAGGGACCAACAGGGTGACCCAGAGCAGGGCAGGGGACACGGTGAGAGGGCACTTGCTGGCCAGCAGGAGAGCCTGGAGGCAGACTAGGTGAGTGTGGAGGCTGTGGGTAGAAGGTGCAGCCAGGAGCCAGTGTGAAGCACGGAGAGGCAGAGAGGGGTGCTGAGATGTCTGAAGATGAGACTGGGTCACACAGATGGGCTCTTTGCCCAAGAGCAGCTCTCCCCAGGGGCTCAACTAGGCTCCTGGCTGCCTAAAAGCTGTCCTCCTGAGCTGCTGCCTGGCCATGCTCTATAGGGTCAGCAGACTCATAGGCCCCACAGACACAGAGCATTTTTTTAAAAATACTTTATTTATTTTTAGAGAGAGGGGAAGAGAGGGAGAAAGAGAGGGAGAGAAACATCAATTGCTTCCCTCTTGCACGCCACGAACGGGGGAACTGGTCTGGAACCCAGGCATGTGCCCTAACTGGGAATCGAGCCATTGACCCCTCAGTTCAAGGGATGACGCCCAACCCACTGAGCCACACAAGTCAGGGCCAGACACTGTGCACCTTCACTACAGCAAAGACACCTGAACATCCACAAAGCTTACACACAGACACTGGTTTACTGTAATAGCTTTTAGGTGTGGGGGACCTCACCAGGCCCAAAGGAACCAGACACCAGGGGATCTGCTAAAGGAGCCCTATCCCATCCTGGTCAGAGCAACATCACGGGCGACAGAGATGGCACGGGCACCAGCTGTTAGTGACTCAGAGCCTGAGGATCATCGACAACACAGGAGGAAATAAACAGGCATATCTTCTTCTTTTTTTTTTTAATTTTTAATCCTCATCTGAGAATATGGTTAGAGAGAGGAAAGGAGGAAGGGAGGAAGGGAGGGAAGGAATGGGAGATAAAAAGGGAGAGAGAAACATTGGTGTGAGAGAAACATCAATCAATTGCCTCCTGTACATGCCCCAACCAGGGATTGAACACACAACCCAGGTACGTGCCCTGACTGGGAACTGAACCCGCAACCTTTTTGCCTACAGGACAATGCTCCAACCAACTGAGCCACGGGCCAGGGCAGGAACAGGAATATCTTGACAAGCTGGAACACACACCTTAACAACAGGAAACAGAACTGGGATAAATGTCCAGTGCTGTCTGTGAGCCATGAAAGGAGTTGCGTCAGTACAGGGCCAAGGAGGAAGGTGAGGGCCCCTTGGCCCGGCACCAGGGCCCTGAGAGGCAGCACCATGCCCACGTCCCGCACTGGTCCCTTCCACTGCTGCATGCGGAGCCTGCCCAAACAGGCTCTGTGTGTTTGTTGGCTAAAGAACGAACAGGTGCTCTGAGCGCTATTTTCAGGTCTGCAAACCATATTTTTAAAAACGTTTTTGCTCCTGTTTCTAGTCTGCAGATCATGCTCCAGAACACAGAAGACAAGGCAAAAAAGGAACCAGGCAGTTAGTTATGCTCTCTGTTAGTATCTTACATTTTCCCCCAAGGAGAGGGCCTGTCCTTTCCTGCTCAGCCATCTCAGCATTCTGTCTGAGGCATCCGTCCATACCTGGGTCCTAACTGCATGTCCCGCCGCATTTAATACTTGTGCTTAGGTGTGGTGTCCTTCCTTTGCACCAGGACCTAACACGTCCACCACATGAGGCTGTCGTCAGGACCAGTCCCACGCTGGGAGAGGCCCTGCACAGGGGCAGAACCGGCTGCTTGCCAAAGCCCCCTCCACTCTCCACGAGGTGGGCTTTGCTGCTGTCCCAGAAGGCCTGCCAGAGCAGCTGGACCTGAATGGCCACTCCTCAGCCTCTGTCTCCAGAAAACAAACTCCTTCTTCCAACAACTGTCCCTAGACGAAGACAAGCTACCATACAACAAGGAGAGGACCCCAAACAGGCAGAGCAGAGGTTACAGCCTCAGAGACACAACTGAGAAGAACCAACATATCATGGCGAGCTCGGGCCCACACAAGCAAGCCCCAGGTTTGTGCCACCTAGCTGGGGTGGGTCAGGGAGCAAAACCAGCGTCAGCTCACATGGGCAGACCCTAAATGGCCATGCTGCCACAGTTCCAACACCAAAGCAGCCACCACGAAACCCAAAGCTGCCAGGGAGGCGTTAGCACCGTAACAGAAGGGCTCTGTCTGCGCAGGTCTGACCAACCCTCCGAGGAAATGAAGGGAGGATTGACACCGGCTCAGGGCCCACAGCCTTTTGGTGCAACCTGGGCCCCACCAGCTCCCTGGGTCTAGCTTCTTCCTGGCTGCCACGGCTATTCCTGTCTGCCCAGTAGGGTTCCATGGTATCTGGTTTAAATCAGGGCCTGCTGAGGGAGGACCTGATCCATTACGCAGGCTCTGTGAGCTCTCCCTCCAGGGACTGGACGAGGCGCTTACTGTTCAGATCCTGCCAGAGCAGAAGGCAGGGACACATCAAGAAAACACCCTGCAATCTTAGACACAAGAAGTGGTTAATGCCATGTATTTTAATTAAAAATGACATGCAGAACCAGAATCAGCGTGGCAGGCACAGGGGAAACCAAGCCTCGAACAAGCATGTCCAGGCTGCAGAGGCAGGAGTGATTGGGGAAAGGCATGCGCTGGGGCAGGCGAAAGTGCTGGGCAGCTGCACCTGGCAGGGAGTACACACAGACGGAAGGGTCTGAGCTCTGGAGGCGTACAGACTGGGGCTCAAATTCCAGCCTGGCCGATCGCCAGCTCTAGGTCTTGGGAGAGGTGCTCCATCCCTAGGAGCGTCTCTGTCATTAGGGGGCACTCTGGAAAGGCTGTGGCCAGGATGCAGGGAGGGGTACAGAAGGGGCCAGGATGGAGGACAGACCCACCCTCAGCACGGCCTGTTCTTCCCTCACCTTTCCTCACCCCGCTGACCTCAGGTGCCCAGGACTCCATCTGCCCATCCACCTGTGCGAACGACTTTCATTCTACCCTGAGGAAACGTCTCCTGATTTGAGAACCACAATACCCATCAACTCACTAGCCTCTCATGAGGCAAGAATTTTTGCCAGCCGTGCCCCATACCCCAAGAGAAGCCTCCTGGTGAACTGCCACCTACCTGCTAGTGGGACAGGAGCTGGATGCTCATGTGTGTGACCCTGTGTGTGTAAAAACCCCAATCATCAAATAGCAGATGCCAATAAGAAAACAGTCATATAACAGTGGGATGAGGAAGGGTTTCCCAAGCTCATCACAAAAAGTAGACACCATAAAGGGAAAAAGGTTTTGCCAGATTAAAAAAGATTTCTACCACACTTTTACCAGCCATCTACCAGAGAAACAGGAATAGATGCCCCGGTAATCCAGGCCCTCGGCAACTCGAGCCCAGTCCTGATGTGTGAGGGGTGAGTCTCTGGTAGCCACCCTTCCCTAGCAGCGTGCTCCGGGCAGGGCCCATCCCACCCTCACCCGCGGCTGTGCAGCGACCTGAATGTTTGGGGGCAAGCTCCAAGCATTTGTGGCGCAGCCCAGGGGTGCTCTACATTTGGCAAGGCACAGTTCAGGCCAGCATTAAAAAAACTGTGCCCC